TCTTGACCTCTTCCACTCATTGGCTGAGGCTCTATAGATACTGCAGCAAGAAATGTATACTGTATACATATATATATATTTAGACATTTCTTGTGGAACTCTCCAAGAGAAAAGCATCGCCGTGAACTTCTAGGGGATGTGGTATGTATGAGCAAGGGCCAAAGGATCCTATGTTTTAGAGGCGGACCACCATTGACTTTGTAAAACTCTGCAATTACTGTGTGTGTGTGTGTTGCGATTGGGCGCCTCTTAAACTCAAACTAGGATATGTTGGCCATTGCTCACAAGGACTCTCCAGGACCCTCCAAGGGGTGTCTATTTATAGCCCCATAGCTGTTAAGGGGTGTCCAACGATTAACCACCCCTTGGGGGTCCTGGTAGTTTAGATTATCTAGCTTGGTAACATTTGCATTACATTTGCTTTCCTCTTCCAGCTGGGGGCAGCATGTATTTGGACGTGTGTGTGTGTGTGTGTTTGAGTCATGTTGCGTGTGTTTGGTGAGATGTTTCACCTAACCCGCCAGTGACGTGATGAAGTTTGCCCAAGGACCACGTTGCTTGGATCTTTGCCATGGATACCCAAACCATCATCACCACCTTTGAACATGCTACTTTAGCTTGAACAGGCCGAATAGCTCGGACCCCAGAAGCTGGAGAGCTCGGACCAGGTTCGCCACGTCCATCGAATCGTCCTTCTCAGGCAGACGCTTTGCAGCCTTCATGCCATCATGAAACAGGTGGAGAAGACCTCCGCCCAGGCGCTTGGCACCTCCGGCACCTCCGGAACGCCGCGAATCACGCCCGAAGTCGCCGCCTTCGATCCCGGTCGCGTCCCGGTCGCGAAGCGGGTGGGGAGCCGGGAGCCGGGAGCTGGGAGGGAGCGGTGTTTGTCTCGGCGCCGTTTGGGCGGCTTGTGGAGGGCGGATTTGGTTAGAGAAGGCTTCTTCAACGCTGGGAATCCGGTGTTTCAGGACCGGTGAGACCCTTTGGACCAATTTGGAGAAGGGCCCTGGCACAAAGGAAATGCCCTGGGCCCTTGGATGACTTTTTTCAGAGGTTTAAGGAGTGAACGTTGGTCGCACAGGCAGACAGGGACTTGCAGGAGATGCAGGGAGCTCAGAGATTGGGACGTGTGGCTGACATGTTCAGGCTCACAGTTGATGAATTAAACACTTGTTTCTTTTGATTCACTTTTACTTTGCAACCCTATTTGATCCTATTATTTGTGAATGACTACCCCAGTTGACTAATAGTTTTGTGAAGGATAAGACCACCATCCAGGCAACAGTCGGATAGTGAAACCTCTTCTACCTCTCGCGCTCACGTGGTCACTTGCGTGAGACTCTACCACAGGCTTCCACCTGTTGGTAAACACCCAACTAAGGAAGACCCTTTCAGGGTCAAACCCCAAAAACGGGGACACACCAAGCTAGACAGGGAAGAAGAAACGGGAAAAGCCCGAGACAGTGAAACCTCTTCATGTGGAGGGTATTATTCATCAACAGCCTACACTCTAGATGGAAACCCTCGCAGTCAGCTAAACCATGTGGTTGTTTAGATGAGTGGATGGAGGAAGAGATGGAGAGGGGAAGCGAGAGAGGGAGGGAGAGAGAGAGAGAGAGAGAGAGAGAAGAAAAAAAAGAGGAAGAGGCACAGAGACTCAAGCCATTTTGACTCATGACTCATGACTCATCTTATGTTTGAAGTGTGTAGATAGAACATGATAGAGCTCATTTGTTTGAGTGGAGATTATAAACACTCAACTTGCCCAAGCCACCGGTTTCACGACTATTTGAGCATGCATGGTAGAGAACATCCTGGCAGGTCGAGTTGGATACTCAAGCTTTCGACAGTTCTTTTTCATGAAGATGTAGGGATGTCGCTTCCAATCTGCTATGGGGATGGGTCAAAACTTGGAGCCCGACCAGTGAAAAGCATGTCATGCAGCCATAGGCTCGGTAGGTCAACCGGTCGGTCTCCTGGTGCCATGACTCGGTAGGCCGTATGCCTGTCAAACAGCAAACTCGACTGTTTCCAGGTGGTTTTTTCTCCAAGCAAAGCGTTGATGTAGCACGACCACGAGCGCGAAAGGAACACACATACGGTGAACGGCCACATCCGGGGTCCCATTCTCCAATTCTCCCTGAGCCCGTCATGGATTCGACTGAAGTGGAGTCCCCTGGCTCGCAAAAGCACGCTCATTCACCTACTTGGTCTTTGGGGCATGCTTGCACATGGTTTTTGGCGGTTCAAAATCAGAGTTTTCAGGGGAACATGTACTGATTTGGGATTCATTGTCCCATCTGATGGCCCTTGGTCATTTGCCTTGACACAGGAAAACAAAACAATCGAGTAAACGTCTAGGACATGAGACGTGAGAGGTCTGCATGGACTTGCAGATTCTTCTCCACCCCACCCCACCAAATCCACTGAGGCATCGCTATGTGAAGAAGGCACAGGAGGCGAATCGCCTGCACGCGGAGCTCCTTGGGCGCCGTGGGGTGCCCCTGTCGCGACAGGTGGGAGGAAGAGTGGAGCGGGATATAGGAGTGGCTTTGTATGGTAGGACGTAGGACGTGGGATGTGAAGATTGGAGGATGTTGGCGGCCCTTGGGATGCGACGTGGATTCGAATTCGGGAGAAAAGACATTCGACGTCGACGTGGATGATAGGAGTAGCTCAAATCTTTCTCAATCAAGACGTCCTCAGAGTCACTAGTACTGCTTGGCTGAGCTTCCGGTCCTCCGAGCTCGCCCAAGGACCCTCGCCGGCGGAAACGCCTTAGGACCACGCCCCGTGGTGCGGAAGAATGCTTTTCAAAAAGGACCATATACACTCCGACTCACTAACATGGAAGTGGAAGTGGAAAACCCCCTGTTCGTAAAGGAAAGTAGTCTTCCAAGAGACCATTTTCCACGTCCATGTTAATTAGTGAGTCCGAGTGTGGCTCCGAACCAACATGAACCAAGTGGAACATAGTGGAACATTGCCCCCCCTTGGAAGGCCAGCTTTTTCCTCTCTAGAAAACAGAGGGTGAAACCACGTCCATGTGACTTCCAGGGAGTCTCATGTCATGACCCGTCATGGCCGTCAAAACGCCCCGGCCGTATCCGTTCACCACACCGAAGACATGTTCCAACGCACGGGCCGGACCCCCCCAGACCCCCAGACCCGCCCCCGGGTTCCACGCCGTTCGGAACGCCAGAGCCGAGCTCCTTCCCAAGGGCTGGACTTGGACGTCTCGATCCCCGAGGAAGAGGCGTCGCCGGGTTCTCCCGCGGAAAGAGGAACCGAGCCAAGTACCCTCCGAGGAATAGATGGAACATGGCCTCACTGGGAAGACAGTGTGGCTGTAGAAACGGGGTGGTTTCCACTTCAATGTGATGTGTTCGGTGTTTGACGGAGTGTGGACAGACTTCTGTAATTATAGCACCCGACTGAATTGATTGGCAGTTTAATCCCGGGATAATCCCGTGGAGATTTGTTACCTGAGTAGTCCAGAAGAGCTTTTGCTGGAGCCGCGTTCTATCGCAGAAATGGTTCGTAAGCATCCAGGAGGCTTTGCAGGAGCTTCAGAAGCAGGAGGCTGGGACTGGCCCCGATGTGGAGCATTCTGGTGGAAGAGTGTGGCCGGTAACCCATCAAGAGTGGGTGGTTGGGGGTGATTTGTATAGCAGTCAGGAGGCTGACTGGATTCAGTAGGTGTTTTGGAGGTTTGTGGTATGCAGTCAGTAGGCCTAGTATGGCCTAGTAGATCATGATCCAGTCCTGAAAGTAGAGGTTGACATTCACACACGGGCGGGCAGTCGGGTAGTCTTTGTGGAAGTCTCGGATTTATGAGAGACTAGAGACTCCAGACCCAAAGCAACCTACTCTCCCGCAAACGAACAGCTAGCAGCTAACATGGAACCTGAGAATGTTTCTCGGTGCTTTCGACCCTTTTCCTCATACCAACCCCAGTGGGTTCGGGGTTCCATGTGGTCCGAATAGCAGGGGAGCTAACCAACGCCTGTCCAAAAGGTCCAAAGGGTGAGCATGCTGACCTGCAAGAAGGATCCTCGCCCTTTTTGGACCGCTCACATGTTTGCTTTATTAACTATTTGCCGCAGATTTGTTTGATTATTGATTAACTATTCAATTTACTATGTGATTATGAATCATGCCTTTTTGTTTGATCATTAATTGCCTCAGCTGATTTGGAAGACATCCCGCTCGACCTGTGAGACACTGGAAGACCCAGGCATGTGAGGCGAGCCAGTGATCCTTCTCATCAGGCTGCTCGACCTGCTCGAGCACCACCTGGGCGAGCAAGCCAACGACTGCGGGAGGCGGGAGGACTTTGTCACAGCAAAGATGATCCAGTCGTGGATGAAACAAACTGGAAGTCGAGACCGAGGGGGATAGATATAAAGATAAGATGAGATAAGTTGTTTCAAGTGAAACACGTGGCTTTGGATCACAAGTTGGAAGGGAAGAGTGAATGAGTTGCTTGTGGTTTCTTCACCAACAGGGATGCAGATAAGGAGTTTAAACATGCTGGGACAAACTCATATCAAGCAGATGTCCACGGCTGGATCAAATGTATCTCACTTGGTTGATAGGGCCACAAACGACGTAGAACAGATTGTAAATGATTGTCAAGTAGAAGTTGCTTGATGGATTGGCTCATCATGTTCCTTTTACCCTTGGGGATCCAAGGTCATGTAGGCCATACATTGGCAGCACCACGCATCGGATCCTTTGGTGGGTTCGGTTGGTTCGGTTGTGGCCTGGATCCCAGTCCATCCCACGCAGCTGTTTGGAGTCGACGGCATGACAGCATGACCAGACCAAGCCTTGAATGGCCCTAGGCCCTAGACCGTCCAGTTCGACTCTTTTGCACCAAATCCTAGGCTCCGGTGACTTGGGTCACTGAATCAGACCTCTATCCTCATCCCAGTCAACCCAGTCATACCCAGCTGTGCTGAGCCCTCTTCACCAAAACAACACTCAAATTCCATGAGATCAGCTGATCCCCCGGATGCTGACGAAGATCCGCGGATTCGGCCGACTTTGTGGCGCGGATTTGGGAGCCGATGGTGACAGCGGCCGAACTGGTGGGCCTTCAGGTGGTTTGGGGAAGACAGGGATGGAGAGAGAGCAGTCAGAGGTTGCTGAAATGTTCCAAATGTTTCCAATGTCCCATCTGATGTGTGAAACAGGACCACCACTCCAACTTGACAAGGATTGTGTGTGACAAGGGGTGGAAGCAAAGGGCCGCCTCCCTACCCGGCTGATGCTCCACATAACCCTATAGCATCCCTACCCCCTTAAAAATTAAATTGGAGCGGGGGGAGAGCCTTGAAATGTCATGTTCCGGTTTCTTTTTGTTTAAAGGATTGCAGCATGATGCATCTCGCATCAAGACCCATGAAATTAAACATAAAACACCGGCATTCATGGATGTGTATCTCGCAAAAGACTAAACAAATCAGGTTTTTATTCCTTTTTGGCTTCATCATCATCATCATCATCATCATCATCATCATCATCATCATCATGTTTTTTCGTTTTTTCTTTACACCTGCTTCCGCAGGTGTTGGGGGAGTCTAAAAATGAAGCTGGGATGCTTGGATTTGACCCCCCCCACCCCCCAAGATGGTAGGGATCCTATAGATGACCTCCTGCAGAATCTGCAGATTTATTTGTTCGTTGTTGCTTTGGTTCCGAAGCTGGCGCTTGACGTCCAAATCTTCCACGTCATGGTGACCGCGCATCTCGTCACATCTTTCGTTTCCAACGACTGCGGTCAACGATCTCACTCAGACACTAGTCGAAAACAAGAAAATTGTCGAGTCATCCAAAAGGTCATTGTCCACTTCCATGATGATCCCGGGGAGATCCAGGGAGTGTAACGGAATATATTCCGCCCACATTGACCCCCTTTCATCCACCCGTGGCGTGACCGGGATATTTGCCAGTCCCAGACAGGTTGTGTTTGGGTCATTGAAACTCATTTCCCCCACCTTTGCATGGCCGGATTCGCCAGGATAAGAAAGCCGACTCGCCGGGTTTTTTCAACCTCTCTCCGTTGGCAATTCAGTGATTTGGTAGCTTTCCCTACAAGTCCAGTCATGACTCATGTTACTCTATACCAGGTGGAGTAAATGAGGCATTGGAAGTTCTGGGTTTGGTACTTCCCGACATCTGGCAACACGAGCTCTCGCGTCAAGACGCCGAAATCCAGCGACGTTCGGACGCTGGAATAGCCTCGTGGGGGATTTGCCTTAGTGGCATCTTGTGGCCGTCGTTCCCCGAAGGTCACGGGAAGGTCCGAATCCGCATATGTCCGAATTCGTCTAGGAAGGATTGTTTTTGTTGGTCCTTTCGCCTTGGCACACTGGGATGAAGAGGGGCATTTTTTATGGTTCTTTTTGCATGGTGAAATTCACACCAAACTCCTTGGTCACTGGAATAAGACATCGCACGACGAGCCTGCGCCAGTCAGACTTTCGGTTTCACTCAGTCTTTCGCTCCGCGTCGCGCAGGTGGTGCGGCCAGGCCCAGGTTTCTCATCGTTGAAAACGAAGGAGAAGCCTAGGTCGCGCTGGTGGCACAGGGCGTTGCGCATCGACTTCTATGCATGTCGACTGATTTTGCTGGGACCTCAGGAGAAAGAATTACATCGTATTACATCAATATTCGGTGCACTACACACTGGGAAATCCACTTGTGGAAGACTTTCGGACATGGATGTTTGAAACCATCCCAATTTGTGAAGTAAATTATAGTTATAATTTTATCTTGATTGCTTGGGTATGCTTGGGTATGCTTGGGTCTTGCATCATGTTATTGTATACGTAGCTGGAGGCTCTCCGTCCAGATGTATATTTGACATCATTTAGACTTTAACACCTTTGATTATCGGATCACATGGGATCAAAAGGACACGATTTGCATGACATGTGTTCGTGCCTGGTAGCTTCACTATCATCCACTGAGTGACTGGTAGCACTTGTGCTTCTCGTCTTCGGTCGGCTGAGCTGGTGCCGGTGATCCGAACTGAGCTGTGCTCCCAATACAGTCAGACCTGATGACCTCCGTGCAGTCTGAAAAAGGGGCATCACTCCATCTACTTTTTTGGGTGTGCAGTCCAAAGGAGAACTCTTCCATCAGTTCTAAAAACTGCCTGAGGATTTGGCTTCTGCACTTCCTGGACCTTTGTACCGACATTTGGGTGGCTGTGGTGCTCATGGAGGAAGGACGAGAGACCTTGTGCCATGGAGGTGTTTGGAGGGAGGTGTTTGGACGGAAGGATTCCTCCAGATGTCAACATGGACACATATAGATAGTGGTGCTCAATCAATGCTATGAATCATTTCTACGAGCCTTGGCTGTCCTGAATCTGTCAACTGGTTGTTTCGAAGGGGCCATGTGGTGGTCGTGCCCAAGCTCGACCACCCCTTCGATCCCCCCGAGCCACCGCCCTTTTTGGGGTTCTACACGGGGCTACCTCTCACCTTCGTCACCCGTGAAGCCCAGTAAAGGAAGACGGAGGATTCCACCGCGTCATCCCGGAGGTCACATGCATGTCACGGCCAGACTTTTGGTGGGATGGTGGGTTTCATCAAGAAGTTGTCCTTTCTGTCTCAAAAAAGACAAGAGCTTGGTGACTTGGTGGAGACTTTTCTTTAGGTGCAAGATCCAAGTAGTAGAAGCGGGGGGGAGCACTTTCACTTTCAATACTTTACAGTAAGCCTGCCTTTGGACACTGATTCAATGCAATGTGCTCACAGGTTCGCTTTGTCAGTGACCTTTCTGCTCATCCCGACCTTGCTTCGCTGGGCGATGACGAGCTTTACGATGAACCCTTGCACGCCAGCAGCTTGGCGCAGGAGGGCTTGGAAGATTCACTTGGGTTCTGCAGGACCTTCCGGTTGATCGGTGGGCAGGCGTCCTCCGGTAGTAGGTGTCAAAAGACACTGATCTTGGAGGCTGGCGGGTGATGGGTGCGGAGTGAAGCTTTGGACGGGAGGGAAGCACTCCTCCCAGCCTGTTCACGGTCAGGTGGTCGAGCCGGAGTAGATGGACATCGGAGTCAGAGTTATGGACACATGTATACTGTATATACTGCTGTAGGACACTCCTATACGTATACACTGCCTCAGTCACCCTGCAAGTTGGAACCAAAGAAGCAGTAGAAGAGTCAAAAGAGTTGGAGAGCTGGCTCCAAAACCTTGGGGCCCCAACGGTCGAATCTTTACAATCATACCAGCTCCCCTCCAAGATCTGTCTTCTTTTTCGCAGCCCAAAACCAGAGCCAGGAGACAAAAAAACAGAAACGCGGACAGAAAAAACAACGCCAACCAAAACGGCCGGCCTCCGACATCTACCGAGCCCAGCCGAGTGGGGCGTTTTCTCCCGCCCTGACGCCTCGCGTGTCGCGTCCTAAGGACTTCTTGGGGCTGCGCGAGGAGAATCCACCGGTGTGTCCCAAGCGACTCGGTGAATTCACCGGTGTTTGGTGCGGGGCAGTTGCCTGCAGTTGTTTCATCAGGTCATTAAACCCCCAGAAGAGGTACATCCCGGGCTCCGGGGTTGGTTGGGGACCAAGCTTTTTCCTCCCTACAAGTAGCTAGCTACTCCCACCCGTCACCTCAGAAGTTTGTGGACGATTGCCAATGTCAATGTCTTTAATGTTCACATGCTCGAAGGTCCTCCTTCAAGTGATGGACGTGTGCAAGATGACCCGCAAGTTCACGATGAAAGGACATGAAAGGACAACTTATATATATATATAGGTGTGATGATCGCAGCCGCCACTGTTCAACTGAGGAGTTGAGGGGGTCATGTCACGAAATACCACCCCGTTGGATCTGTTTTTGGAGGTAGATTGAAGGATTATGGTGGAAGGTGGGTTGATTTTTGCACCTTGTTAACGAATGTCAACGATGATTCCACCATGGAACATGTATGAAACATGTAGCACCTTATAGAGATCCAGGCGACCATGTTTCATACGCAACGGAAGAACACCGGGTCCCGGAACCGTCTCGGACCGATCGCCCGGTTTCGCCTCACCGGGCTGACCAACGTCCCGCACCTCGCAGCGAGGCTGGCCTATGTGCCCATTCTGGGCGAGCTTGTGACCTGACGAGATCGGCCCCCCCGGGATTCGGCCCTGTCATCGGTCACATCGTTTTGTGGGTCATCGTCTGGGGTCATCGTCTGGCGCAGCTTGGCAGGGGGCCCGCAGCTTTTGGGCAAAGCCGAAGATGTTTCTGACTCAATTTGAAAACTCAATACTCAATCCTATATAGATTGATGTACTGTAGATTGTTTGTGCTGCATGTTTGTGCCTAACGATTGTTTTGGCCTAGATCAGATGGCCGCTTTGTAGACTTGCTTTCGTCGAGCGAACACCGCGCTGGTCTCGGTGGATGCGGGTTGTACCGATCAAAGCTTATGAGGATGAAGCACGCCCATGAGTTTGGGCACTTGAGAAGACCACGGCCGGGGGTGTTGGAAAAAAGGGCTTTTGGCGGGTGTTTGGCAGGCAGGCCAACGGCACCTGAATCCTGCAAATCATGCCTGAACAGTATATGTATTTACAGTAGGTTATGGGTCTAAGCGATTCCTATCGATTCCTGTGATGCTGTCAGTGGACCTAGCTGCGCAAAAGCGCTTGGAGGCCAGAGATTCTGAAAACTCCCGGTTCACCTAACTGGTGCCACCGGCACACGCCGCCCAGGTGGTGGTGGTGAACGCCATCAAGACCAATTGGAAGTTTCAGGGTCGAACTCGCCGCTCCAAGATGGAGGAGCAGCGGATCAAACCGATGGAAACAGCCAAAAGTGAAGCCGGGATATTGATGGAACAGAAGGGGGTCTCGACTCCTGACCGCCTGGCCCACCATTGATTTCATGGTTGGAATTCCGAACAACCATTGTTTTACAACCAAAACCAAGGTCCTCCAAACTCTTTGTGACTGGTCCTACTAGCTGATGTCGGAGTCCAGCAGGGTGAATGTTCGACGGAGAGCGGCTGAATCCTTAAAGGAGGGTTGGAAAGATGGGACACATTTCAGGCTTTGCTGTGTTTCAACATGCTTAACACACACTTAAATGAGGTCGTGATCCCAACTGATGCTGGCCTTTTTGCCACCATCTCACCGGTACTTACGGTACCTCCAACCATCCAAACGTAGATCGCGGATGGCGGAGGGCGTCGAGTCGAGTTTCGAAGGAGGCACAAGACGTCTCCGGTGCCGCTTGGCGGTCATGGCACCAGGATTCCTTGGTTGACCACTGAACATGAATGTTCCATGATCAAAAATGATCAAAAATGCAGAATAATACTGGCCTAGGTGGAGGTCCCACCTACCGATTTGGGGTATGGGGTTTCACATGGTTTCACCATTTTTCACCCACAGCACTTCGGTCGACTCACTCGGTCACCAAATAGCCGGTCTTTAGGGGGTTCAATGGGGGCCATAAGCATTCTCAAACCACGTTTTTTCTAAACCACGTTTTGGGGATTGTGCCGACTTCGTTGAAAACACTGTGGTCACTATAAAAGAGAACTCCTTCATCGTTGGCCCCCTTTTGAGGTTTGACCGCCTGCGTACTGCTTCCCCAGGTCATCCAGAATGATCAAGCCACTAGGCCCTTGCTTTCCAAGACCATTTAACAAATGATTGACCTGGTTTTGTGGTCAAACACCCCAGTAGCAGGCCAACACATAGTAAAACAAACAATATGGCATGCACATCATCTACGGCCCATACGGCTGTATGTTATTTTGCGGAGACCACTCTGCCGGGTCCGGACTTCGACGGCAGACCGAGGCGCTGGTGATCTTGCGGATGGTGGAGGGGGCCTTCGAAGCGATGCCACAGGTGCGGTCGGCTTGGGTCGGGTTGGTCGGGTGGGTCGATCGACCACCCCAGACGCGGAGCCCGTTTGGCTCGCGAAGCCGGACTGGAGAGGATCCGGGGTTTGCTTCACCAATGCCGATCGGTTTTGAGGGAAACCGTTGGGCTGTTTATGGCTGTTTCACAGATCGACCCGAGGATGATGTTCCAGCATCCCAGCATCCCGTGGTTCGAGTCAAGTGGTTTTTGGCTGAAGCTGGTGACCCTTGGCATGGGGGATGATGGGGAATGATGGGGGAAGGGTGAATGTCAAGCAATCATTTAAGGGTGGAAAAGGTTCATCCTTTGCAGTGCTTGCAGCTCACCTGAAACTGCTTGGACGGCATGCAGTTCACTTCCTCCAAGACCAGTCTGGCCAGTACTGGTCTGATGCAGCATGGACATGGTCTGATGTCGTTACCGTTGTTATCCTTTTTTGCTGGGCTTATCTTGACTTACAAGTTGAAGTCCGTGCAAGTGTTGTTCTTTGCTCATTATCTCAGATCAGCACGATCCTTTTGAGGGATGTGATTCTCAGTCTTCAACGATTTCAAGACGCCTGGGCCTGTTCCAACATGTGGTGCCAACAGGCTTCAACAGGCTTCGAGCCAAGTCGTGTCAACGCTCGGATGACTCGGACGAAGCGACTGAACTTGCTGATGAAGAGGATCTATATTTAATATACGATAGGAGCTCATCTCCCAATGAGATGGAAACAAGACTGGTGATGCGGTTTGTTTTGCCATTGCTCTGGCGCAACGGATGAGCTCTTGTCCTTGGTGCTGTTGTCCAAGGTGTTGCCAGCAGAGGGAGGCTGGACCTCTTACCTATGCCGAACAGTAGGGCCGTAGGGGCGTAGGTTGTCATGCCGCATGCAGCCTCAAGGCCCAACTTCAGCCCAACTTGAATCAGCGACAGATCCTTTTGGGTGACATCCTGTGAGGCCCCCTGTTACTGGGGCGCGGAAGTGCCGAGAAATGGGAAGGCCCCGCCTTTCGCGTCGGGGCGCCGCTTACGGCGTACACGCCGCTGAATGCGTGACAGGTCGTTGCATGCCATCTGAAAGTCAGTGACAGCTGACCACCTCGGCTGGACAACTAAGTGGATAGAATGAGAAAAACAACTTAGAATCAGAAAACCAAGCTGAACACCTGACAAACCGGATGAACCTGGATGACACGCCTGTGTGATTCTCAGCTTGGAGACCTCGTTACAGTTGCCCAAGCAGTTCCGCCTTCACGGACGGCTCCGCTGGAGACGGAACGAACTTGGCCACGAAGAGCCATGGTGAGGAAGCTACTATAGTCACAAAGTGCATCGCTACTATAAGTAACAAGGGCATTACTAGTAACAAGAAGCTACTAGCAACTATGGCATCACTTCCAGTAAGCTCTTACTACTAGTAACAAGAAGGCCTCTCTGGGCGGAAAGAAATACACATTGGCTCGTTCCGACGCGGCGCCGGTGGAATGACCGGTGTGGTGCCGGTGGAATGACAGTCGACTCTTGACTAGCAAGAGGCTCCTACCGTATGGGGTGCGCTTTACTAAAGCAGGCGGGCTTGCTTGTTGGCGAGTTCGTCCGGGCCGAGGATGGCCAGTAGAAGCCATTGGTTCCGGTGTCGCCAGACGGAACATGGCCGTGTTGTGGGATGCGCCTGAACTCAAACTCGGTATATTGACCGGTCTTTTTGAAGAATATCGTTTGACACTCAGCTTGTTTTTGAGGGGAAGCTGTCAATGAGAAACACTTGATGAGAAACACAAGCAAGCGTATATGAGGTAGAATGTCGGAGATGTGTGCAAGATGTTGTTTCCTAACTTGCTTTTTTTGATATGTTCATTGGATGACGCTGACCCCATGACTTGGCGCTCTTAACGCCAGGCCATCATTCAGGGCATAGTGCTCTATGAGGAGCGGAGTGTGTTCTCGGGGCAGAAAGCAGCGGCCTTGACCAATCCATACCAATGCATGATGCAGGCGCAGTGAGGCACAGTGATGTTCTTACCAAGATCCTGATCTCAAGGCCTCAAAGGCCAGCTTCTTCAAGCAAATGGCTGTGTGATGACAGGGCAACGTCAACGGGCTGGTGGGTGGGCTATTTTGGTGAGGTGGTTCTGGGGCGCACGTGGCTCCGTGTCAGGATTTGGTGGCGGGACGCGTGTCTGGGCGTGGTCTTGTGCGGGTTCTTGGGCGGTCTTGTGGAAATTGTTGCAAAGACAAGCTGCCCGCAAAAGACATGCGAAATGATCAGCACGCCAATTGGACGCCAATTCACAGGGGAGACCCACTCTTGAAACACATTTATGTGTAGAACCTCTTTGTCCAAATCAGAGGCATTTGGAATCGGAGGCCCCTCAGTCTGAAAGTCCAGACGGCCATTCGCGCGGTTGTTCACTCAGACTGCAGATGTCCATGTTTTATGGTGTGGAGGGGGCCGCTGGCGGGTAGCTTGACCTTAGTTTGGCTCAGGGTGAATTGTATGTCGATTTCCCTGTGAGTGAATCGCCTTGGGAAGATGTGTTTGGTTCCTGGCTGAACAGCCAGTCCAAGTTAGAAGGGGGAGAAGTGCCCCCGAGAAGTGCCGGTCAGAGGCTAAGTGGGGCGCCTTGGGGTCCATCGGTTTAACTCTCATCCTGGCAAAGATTGTAGTGAATCAATCATTATATAATCTAGAACATGTGCAATCCTAATCTGTGGGTCTATTGATTGAACGTCATGCAATATTGCCAGTACGGTGAGTCTTTCACTGGTAGGATGGCGCCATGACGGCACGTAGAGGTCTTTTTGAATGTGGACATCCAGCCTGAGTTGCCCCAAGATCCCCTGCGTTTCAGGTATGACCTGGATGTCCAAGATCCCCTGTGGACGTGAGGCTGGTATGCTAAAGAAAAAGCAGTGAGCAGGTACTGGTATGACCTGGTTTGGCTTTGGTGGCTAAATGCTCATCGTGGCCCAGCCGAGGTTCGCTTCATCCAATGGCAATCCTTCTTCGTGTCCTTCCTCGCTTTGGGCACCAGCCTCTCTTCGGTAGCCCTATACCACCAAAGCACTGCTTCCGAGGACACCAGTCGTGGCTGCTGTGATCAGAAGCGCTGGATGCGCCAACGTGTTGTATGTGTTGTTAGAAGTTGAGGGGCAGAGGGGGGATAAGATTCTCCGGCGTGTTGTTGCCACCTTTTGAGCGGCATGATCGTTGGATCCATGCCAACCAGATCCATGCCAAGCATCTCCATTCCTTGTCAAGGTTCCATGATGTTGCCATGGACTTAGCGGTATTTCTATGGATCCTCGCTGGTTCCAAGCTCCGTTCCGTGTGGTTTTGGTGAGGCACGTCGACCAAGGAGTCGGAAGCTTCCGTAGCTTCCGTTGGGGTCGCCAGACGGCTCCGAAATCCGAAATTCGATGGGGGTGGTTCTGAATGAAGAGATGACCCTCACTCTTGGGTAGGCGCTGGATCGCTACAGCTTCCGCAGGCTCCCCCTGCTGTGTAGTTCTTTGAGCATGTGAGGAGCGTCGGGAGCGTGACAGAAGGGATGCCAAGCAGGAGTCTCACTGGTACTTGTTGAAAGGTGCCTTGGACGTCCTGGTGCTTTGAATGATTTGATTTGGCCGTATAGTCAAAACTTAAGACCCTCCCCAGCAGCCTGTTTCGATGGGCGAAGGCCCTTGTGCTCCCGCACCTTCTCCTTTATGGATTGTTCACCTTTCAGCGCCTCCAAAACGTGGCTCCGCTTCAAGCATTGTGGCCCCTCACACCATCAGCCCCATTGCAAGTCATACCGGTTTCATCCAGTTTCCATTGACACAGCGCACCAACCCCCCAAAAGGGATGGTTTCAGTGAGGATTTTACAACAATCCAGTATAAGAAAGTGTAAGTTAAACCTAGTTTTTTCTTTGCCAACTGGCTCACACAGCCAGTTGACTCGGACAGGGCCAAACAGTGTGACCCCCGGAGCAAGAAGCAACTCGGTTCTACAAATTCTGAAATACAGAGCGGGCACCGATTCTATCGAATTTGGAACCCCTAAGCTGGAGGGATCAATTACTGAACAACAACAACAACAACAACAACAACACAACACAACACAACACAACACAACACAACACAACACAACACAACACAACACAACACAACAATACACAACACAACACAACACAACACAACACAACAACATATCAACAGCAGCAGCAGCACCATTAACAACAGCAGCAGCAGCAGCAGCGACAGCAACAGCAACAGGACAGGCTCCTACAAATTCACGTACCTTTTTAGGCTGGTCAATGAAATAGTCTCCCTGCTCACCGTACCTCAGAGGGTGTCAGTGGGCCCCCATACGGGGTATCAAATGCCTTGCCACGCTCTAAGAAGGTCTGGGGAAAAGGATGGAAAAGGGCATTGTTCGTCGTCGTCGTCCGATGCTCAGGTCTCTCTTTGGCCTTGTTCCTCGCAGCGGCCTCCCGGCAGCTCCCGGCGTCGTTGGTGTTCGGGTGACAGACGAGTGACATCATGTCACTGCCTTTTTATTCTTGTTTGGCTGAATGTTGGCAGAAACGCGGCTGCTCTAGTCCGCTTGTCGCATCATGCCAGAACTCGAGTTTGACAGGCCTAAGCTAAAAACCCAGTTCGCCTACATTCAAAGTTGAAAGTTTGTGTGCCTTTGGAAATGTGAACCACGTGCTTTCAAATTGCATTGAATGGTTGTACAGTTCATTGTGCAGAGGATATCAGAGGCAAATCAAGCATCTTCAGACCTTTGCTACGGTTCTTATGCCTCTAAGTTGACCGAGTTGGGTTGAATCCAGCCCATCGAGAGCGGTCGGGTTACCGTATTGGTTGCGGTCGGGTTTCACGTCGCAGCTGATCTGACGCCTTGGGACGCACGGGCGATCCGGCTTCTTCGGAGAGAATCCACCGGCGTTCTTCGGAGGTTCCACCGGCGACCATTGTCCTGTTTCACTCCTGTTTCCCTCCACGAGAACACCCTATAGTCTGAACTCCAAGTGTGGTTGGATCGATGGGCGTGTCGCGATGCTTGGCGTGTTCACCCGATCCCTGGATTTCCCTGGCCGCTTGGGCGTCTCGAGACCCACCCGTCGGATGTGGAACTCGTCGCGTGGTCTCAGGACAGCTTTCTTCGCATGAACGCGATTGCAACGGTGCTGTACAGTGAGAACTTGGCCCTGTGGTTTCCCATCTACCTCGCGGTGGTCTATGCTGGTTTGCCATTCTTACTAGCCACTTGGGTCTTGATCACACGAAAAGGCTGAATGAACAAAGCATAACATTATTTTTGTCACACTGGGTGTTGGGAAGGTGCGTCAAAACTTTGAAACCATTGGCATTCGGGTGATAAAGCGGCCTACAATCGTGTGGCAAGAACCACCCTCATCACTATGAGGAACCTTCACTGAATTTCGCAATATAGAATTAAGATAGTATCAAGTGTTGTGTTTGTGGTTTGATTTGCTTGTTTCCTTTGCAATCAAACCTCATTTGTGTTGGGACACACATGTCCATCACAGCGCAGATGCTTCCTGCTCATCAAGTTTGTTTGGCCGTGGTTGTGCCTCAAGAAGGGAATGAACATCCATGATGGTAGCAGAAGCTGTTCTAGATCATATAAAAGCTTTACCTGGCGAATACCTAGGGGTACGCGATTTGGAGCCAGAGCAAAGTCTAAATTTAAATGCCAGATGCATGATGATGTGAGTGTTGTGTTCTCGAAAGGGTAGGTGACAAGTTTTTAGCAAAAGAGAGCTCAAGCCAGGTTGCCTTGATCGCACGGGCTCAAAGGTCAACCTCATGTGCACTAGTGGTGCAATACCTTTTGCAAGAAGAGGTTGTCTTAGGAAGTGCAGGACGTGCCAGGGAGCCAACAAAAATTGATAAAAAATTGCCTTTTGGAGCATAGTTCCAAGATTGGAACATCATGTTTATCGAGAGGATAGAGTGAAGTCTCCCCGCCGTGGGAGACTTCAGTATCGATTCCATAGTGAGGTTTGTTCTGTGCTTGAGCACCCGGAGCCCAGCCTTAAGCGTTTGGTCCCCCACGGTTTCTTTGACCCGCGCGTGTCCAAGCGGAGCCCCAGGTCACGGGTACTCTCATCGCGGCAATTTGCTGCAGCAAGAAGGACGAAGGCCGTCTCACATGTTGCGGACACCTCTCCGTTTTTGCGACACTGGGCGGTGAATTTCAGCCGACACCCTCAACTCTCCTCGACCGTGGTTTCGCTGAAGGCTGAAGCGGGTTGGATTGGAAACACCTCGCCGGCCGTGAGTTGGGCAGTGGAGGTATGTATTAGATTGCACTACTCTATAGATCCACATAGCCTTTTCGAAGGGATTAGAGACTCTTTCCTCGACTCTTTCGAAGGGATGGCCCCAGGACGGTCCCATCATGACCGGACCCGAGACCGGGCCCTGCCGCGTCAGACCGGCCTCGTCCCCATGTCGGTTCAACAGAGGCTTCAGCGAAGGAACGTGGGATGACGTGGGCAAAGTGTTGGTGTCACCTGAATGGTTGATGTTCACTAATTAGCAAAGTTAACCTTTCTTGGTAGGTGTCCTCTAGTGTTGTCCTATGGGGATCACTTGGATGCCTCAACCTGCACAAACATTGCATAGCATAGCCCCCTCACATAGCCCCCTCGGCCACAAACTATGTAACTATTGATTGCGGCTCATACTCGACACCTAGAAAACGTGCATCCCTTCGTTCTTGAACCAGTTATTCCAAGGCTACGTGTTGGTTTGCAGTGTGCCGCTGTATACCAATTCTCACAACACTATAAACACAGCGAAACAAGGAACCTTTGCAGCCCACTGACTGAACAAGGACACTAAGCACAAGCGACAGATGCTATTCAGTATTTAGATTAAGATCCAATCCAATTCTGATCACACTTCAACAACCCACGTGTGAGGTGCTGAGAAAGACCCACGCAGAAATAAAAACCACGGGTTTGTTGCGCGACATGGTAAAACGATGATGAGTGGTGGAATTCAGTCCCATCCAGAAGCCAAAGCCCTTTGTCCTTCGTTTTCAGAAGATGGCTTTAAAATCCTGCGACACTCCGGCCAAGCAAAGTACTGCAACCCAGAGAAGGGATGACAAAGCCAGTGACTCAGAGTACGGCCTCTGAGGATTATGTACACTGGGACGCTGATCATGTGCGGCTTCGCGTTTTTGATCCCCTTGGACTTGGTGACGCTTGGTCGGCCGTCCGTTTGGTGGCGTCCGGTTGGTCTCATCCTGGGGAGCGGTTCTGTGCTTCGTGGTGTTCCGTTTTGGCAAACGAGCTGGAAAATACCTTGGGAGTGGACTTCCCTTTTGTGCTACCCTTTGACTCGCGCCTCGTATGGAAGTGGAAGAGATGACACGCAATGGAAGACTCATTTCCTCTACAGGCAGGATGGTTTCCACTTCCATGTTAGTAAGTCAGAGTGTTACTTCTTGACCAAGACCGTCCTTGATCTTCTGTTGTTCCTCAAAAACGAGTCCAGGCCCGTCATGGATCACCACAATTGATAGCAGATCCACCCACTGAGTATTTCAGACACTCTCACTGAGTGTTCAGTACAGACTTTTCAGTATCGAGAAGCAGATCCACCAGATCCCGGGCCGGGATCGTCCCCCCGAGACATTGTCACTAGCTCATCTCTGATCGATGGAGCATCGTGGGTCGGTGAGTCATCGGGGGTGGAGGTGTGTTTGGAGTGTTGTTTAAAGCAATGTTTGCCCCGGGATGCACTGAGTGGATGGTGTTATACATGATTTTCGATTGATAGAAGCACTCTTTGAACCCCCATCCATTGAGTGGTAAATCAGAAGCGGGGCACCCTGATCAGAACTGATGAATCACATACATACAGCTCGAAAGGGAACTATACCCATGGGTCTATTGATGTCTATGGTCTTCTTGTCTATAGATCATTATCGATCTTTGTTTTCGCTCGTTTGTTCCGCCAGCTTCTCATTCTGCTTGTTCTCGAATTCAGGATGTGTAGCACGAGCGTCCCACCATTCTCGCTGCTTCGCTTGCTGGAGCACTTGGCCATGAGCATCTTAAGCCTTTACGTCTCGGCGCCATTAACCTGGGCAACTCGCTGGGAGCCGTGGGAGCTTCGAACGACCGCCCCATGAAACCGGTGCACCGGGTGAACGGTCGCACCGCTCAGCTAGCATTCTGGTTGACTGAACAAGGGCACCGATTCCTCGAACTGAGCGGGGTGTCAACCTACCATTCGTTGGGCTCACACTGGAGCAATCCAGCGAGCTAAGCAAAGCGAAGCGAAGCTGGACCCGTCGAGCTCCGCGGTGCGCGCAGTGGTTCCGAGAAGGGTCTAGTTGAATATGTTGGTCCGAGTGCCATAGGATGACCAGCAACAGTTGGTAAAAGTTATATAAGATGGTTTTATATAACCATTTTTAAACCAAAAAACATCATAGATCACTATGTTGGTCGACAGGCCATTTGTTGCTGGTAATGGGAGAGAACCCAAGAGTGCCACATGAAGACAGATTAGCTGAAGTGGGGTGCCCATTCAGATGCACTGAAAGGCTCCTTTGGGTGGCCCCATCCCTTCAAAGGGCACAGTCACTTTGCCCTGCGCGAATCAGGTACCTTTCGCGGTGTGCATAGCTGCTTGGCATTCCGTGCTCCACATGTGTGAAGCGAAAAACACCAGTTCTTCCTAAGGAAGAGTCCCGGCAGTTCCAAGCTGGTGTATCTCTTTAGCGAGGGTCCGTCCGGATTCCGGTCCAGTTTTTGAGGCAACTAGATTCATTTGAACCCCTGCAAGAGACAATTCAACTTGAAACCCCTGGTTGTTGGATAATTGTCCATCAAGATAGAGTATAGATGAGTATAGATAGTATATTTTCCACATTGGCCAGAGAAAGCCAGAGTTGGTTTGGAAGGCCTTGGACGCTGGTCTCCACGCGTTTGGGCCGAGGTCTCCTTGCTTTCCATGGTGCCTGCACGGCTGATGTTGGGCCTTCCATGCTCCCCGAAAGCAATATGAGTGTTTGTTTATCAGTTTGTATGGATTTATGGATCCGGTGACTTCCAGCAGAGGTGCTTGCAGCCGTGGATGATTTACCATGTACAATGTCTAGTTTGATCGAAAGCTCCGCACTGGAACCTCCTCAAATCATTTGACAGACCAGGTGTACCAATTTATAGGTACCTATAATAATAGTATCTATATGAGTACTACGTGTACTGTAACTTATAAGATCTTATAAGAGATATTGTATGCTGTATATGGGACTTATATGTATATATATATTTCGATTCCATTTACGTCCCAGAACAGAAACCTGGATCTTGATCTAAATAGACTTGACAGAACAGTAGCAAGAGGCTACTAGTAGCTCCTGGCATTACTACTAGGAACGTTCCTGCTACTAGCAATACTACTATATAGTAACAAGGGCATTACTACCAGGAGCAAGCACGCTACTAGTCGCTCCTGGCATTATATACTAGCAGGAACATTATTGCTACTAGAAACAAGGGCATTACTACTAGTAACAAGAAGCTACTAGTATCAAGGGCATTTCTACTAGGAGCAAGGGCGCTACTAGTAGCTCCTGGCATTACTAGTCTCAACATTCTTGCTACTAGTAACAAGGGCATTACTACTAGCAACAAGAAGCTACTAGTATCAAGGGCATTACTACTAGGAGCAAGGGCTCTACTAGTAGCTCCTGGCACTACTACTCTCAACATTATTGCTACTAGTAACAAGGGCAATACTACTAGTAACAAGAAGTTCCATTACTACTAGGATCAAGGGCGCTACTAGTAGCTCCTGGCACTACCACTCGGAACATTCTTGCTACTAGTAACAAGGGCATTACTACTAGGAGCAATGGCGCTACTAGTAGCTCCTGGCATCACTACTCGGAACATTCTTGCTACTAGTAACAAGGGCATTACTCGTAGGAGCAAGGACGCTACTAGTAGCGATGCACTTAGTCGCTCACGCAGGTGGGGAGGACCTCGTCCTGAAGAAGCTTCCTCGCACCTGCTTCTTCCGTGTGAAAGTTACCCCTATACATGAGGACGGGGACTGATGTCCTTCACCAGGACGTACCCAAACACTCAAGACTCAAGACGTATCCACATACTCCATGTACGGAAGATATGATAATATGAACATGAATCCTAGAATCCTAGACCTTTGAACCCATCCCCAATGTAAAATCATCAGCATAATGATTTGCCACTCCCATCGGTTGTTTCTTTTTGGGCTTTGCACATGCAGAATCCATGTCCATTGGAGTCCCAACAAGTCCACATGGACGGACTTTTTCGTAGGCCAGGTGGGACGGAGACGACCTTTGCCAGGAGCCAGAGGCATCAGTGCCGCTGGGTGATGAGTCTTGTCATGTGGCTTCAATCATTTGGGGTCTAGGACTTGGGTTGGCCAGCTGGCTGACATAAGCTTCTTAGACGATCAATCTGGATGGGAAAGAAATGCTACGTAGAAAATACAAATGCATTGATCCACCCAAGACGCTATTTTTTGGATGGCACTATCGTGTTTAGACACAGGACGTTTAAAAAGAACAACCGATCCCAACGGTCCAGCCACTCCGACCTTCCAAATCAGGGCCTCCCTGCAATCAGACTACCGTAGTCCTGCAATCCCCCGTGTCTTGCGATGTTCGTCAACTCCAGTGTCCTGCCGCGAGTCCCGGCGCATGGGTTCGCGTGCGTCGCGTGCCCCGAAGGGTAAGGGTGGACTGGTCACCATGACACGATTCGGACGATTCGGACGGCGCCCTGGGGCCGCTGGGGATCCCTGGTGTTTGGAGACCAGACGCAATCTGTTGGACCTGTGGGATGCAGAACAGTCGCCCTTTAGGGGGTTCGAGGTTTGGAGAAATATCTTTGTTTTTTCCCCATGATATCCCCAAACACTCCCATATCATGGCCTACATCGTGACCCCTGCAGCTCTGAACAAAATATTTATAATATAATATTGAATATTGCCAGTCCTACCGGTCGTGTTTGAAAATTCGATTCCTCCAATCTCACACTCTTCATGGAACTGGAATAACTTGTCGTGGACGGGTCATGTCCATGAGGTATACATTGTATGCAACTCTTTCAGTCCCTTGGATGGTCTGGGAGGTCTGAATGGTCGAAGGCCCGAAGGCGGCTCCGTTCGGCTCGAAAGATGAGGTTGGATCAAGAAGGTCACCGAGTGGCTGGGCTTGTTGGGTGGTGGTGGAAGGGATTCCTGAAGTTCCCATGGTTGGGTAGGGGGACTGAGACCTACCCGACACGGCCAGTCCTAGGGATCCGTATGTCAGTACCTTCTCAGGTGCTTGGAGACACTGGTAGATGTAGGTGCCATTGTCGGGTCCAGTCGTACCGAACCTGAGAAGGTCATTGGATCCCTAAGGATACTGACACCCTTCCAGCTTTGAAACTGTTTGGGATCAATGCGTCCTACTCACCCGTCCGTGATCCGTCGGTCAAAACGATCGGTAAGTCTAATTTAAGCATATATTTAATCAAGTCAAATCATACCAGAACCCATTGCTTTTTGAGGTAACCAATGGACGTCTCTTGGGCCTTCATTTTTCACACTCTTGGACGCTCCTGGTCAGCCTCGCTCAGACAAGCGTTTCTGACCACCTCAGATTACAGTGGCCCCACAGCTGATGTGTATACAGTATTGCCTGATCGGTGTTTTGTTGAACTTCAAACCAGCCCTGCTGACCATGTCCCAGCGCCCGGAGAAACACAACGGGTGACATGAGGGTTTTTGGCCCCTGGAAAGATGTCGGCACTCCATTGCGAACTGAGGGACCAAGGGCTAATTGCCATCATACAGATGGACATGGACCTTGACGTCAGACCAGACACGGCTCCGGCGGAGCAGCGAACGTCCGACGTCCGAGGCTCAGCTACCGGGGCTTCACCATTGGGCATCTCTTGGACTTTTGCCAGGTGTTAGGCCGACGTGCCGAAACCGACCCGCACGGACAGAACTGGACGCTCTGCGGGACAGAACTGGGGGGAGTGTCAGCCCGGCATGGACCAAAGGAGACAAAGGCCATTGATTGATTTAGATGTCATCTGGAGTGGTCCTTTTTGGGAAACCGGGCGTTAAGCCCCGAATGGACGGGCAGTTTGAGCGATGGGTATCAGGAGGGTCTTAAGTCTGATCACCTACCTCGCAAGGCAGCAGCTCGGTGATGCCCCACTTCGATGCAAGCCAGATGCTTGGTTGAGCCACGTTTTGAGGGTGACTCCCCCATTTGATGGGTGTGTATTGAAAGACCAAGGTTTCCCTTCAACAACAATTGGTTTGATTGGTTAGTGAGAGATTCAAGATGACATGTCATGACATACCCCACATGAGCTGTTTGCCTCCTTCGTTTGCACCATGACACCCTAACCGCAGGGTGGGTCCGAGCCTTTCAGAAAAGGGGCGCCTTTCGCACACGTGTCGTGCATGGTCATTCGCCACCGGTCGGCGACAATCGTGAAGTGTACCATCGAGTTTGGTTGTTGAGCATTGTGCATTGTTCACATTGGTTGAGTGTTGGGGTGCTACCTCCCGCATGGTAGCGGAGCCCCTGGGGCTCCAGGGGCTGGATGACTACGACGGCTGCAGGTGTGCCGTGCTGGGACGGCAATGCTTCGACATTTGATACATTTGTTGTTGCATGCAAGTGGCTTCAAAAGTCATTGAAGCCTTCAGAGCGATCCCAAGCAGCACCGAAGATCTGGCAGTCATTGTCGGGCGCTGCTCGCAGCGTCGTCAAGCACCTCGACCCCGATGACTACACAGATGACGACGGAATGACCCGTCTTCTGAATGTGTTGAGAGCGAGCCCACTCCAGCAACTTCCAATTCCCGACAGCTTTGGCAAACTGGAGCGTTGGCACCATCTCCGCAAAGGTCCCAACGAAACAATGGCTCAGCTCATTGTCAAGGAAGAAGAGATGTTCCAAGACCTTCAACAAAGCCTGGTGAGAGCAAGGGCTGACCGAGCCCTCAGCCATGTCGTGACACCTGGACCTGCCAGGATGGATCCTCCATCCACTCCGTCCCAATCTCCCGTCGCTGGAGCTCAGAGGCGCGCGTCCGAACAGCGTGAGTTTCCACCGGATACGGTACCGACCGTTACATTGGGCAGTGGTGGTGGTTCTGGGTCGAACACGTTGGCCAATTTTTTTGAGGACAAACTACGTGGATACAGGTTGATGAAGGCTGCAAAACTCAGTCAAAGCGAGCGGCAAGCAGTTTTGGTTCAGACACAAAACAGCACCCACTACTATGCCATCCGTCAAGCTCTGCGAACCCTGTACGCTGAGGAAAGTGAGCGATCTCAGCTTCATGATCGTGGCCGCAGTGCAAAGGCTTGGTGGGCTGATGGTGAGTGGGAGCCCGAGCAAGAGGAGTTGGAGCGGGATTGGAACGAATGGAGTCCCACTTCGTGGGATCAGTGGGAAGATGAGCCCAATAGCTTCTGGTATGATGGATGGGAAGAAGATGAATGTGGCTACGATGACTCGTGGTGGCCCAATGAAGAAGAGCTGAATCCCATCGAGGAGAGTGAGATCCCTGAGGAGCGTCAATACCAAGAGGCCTTCGCCCTTGCAAATGAGGCAGCTCGGACTTTGGAGGAAGCCCGCAATGCAGTGAAGCAAGTTCGCGCTGCCCGTGGCTACTACTCGCCATCAGTGGCAACATAGGCAAAAGCAAGTCGTCTTCTGGACCTGGCTCAGGCAAAGGGAAGACATCGAGCAACAAAGGATCCTTCGGACCATGTTTTCTATGCGGTCGCCCTGGACATAGCTATCGCCAATGCCCTGACCGATTCTCCAAAGGAGGAAAAGGATTCGGCAAAGGCAAGAGCAAGTCTGGCAAAGGTGGAAAATCACCGAAAGGCAAGGGTGGCAAAGCATTTTTCACGGAGCTCTATGTGAATGTTCGCTGGGACGAATTTCCCCAACGGTCTCGAAGCTCAACAAGAGCAGTTATCGACACTGGAGCGACGGAAAACGCTGTGGGCATTGCGTGTTTGGAAGAGATGGTGAGCAGTGGGCATTTTGTTCACGAGGTTTCCCATGACAGCCTCCCAGTGACTGGGTCCCAGTGTTCAGATTTGGCAATGGACACAGGAGCAGAGCATTGAGCAATGTTGTACTGCACAATACATCGCTGGGTGCTCTCAATTTTTACGTGCTAGGAGATTTGGGGGCAACAACGCCGCCACTGTTGGGAGCCAAGACATTGCGAGCAAAGAGAGCATTGCTGTCGTATTCGAATGGGTTGTTTTTGTTTGCCCCGGAACCATCTGAACCCGGGACAACTGGCAGTGGAAACATTGTTAATGCAGTGCAAATGGAAGCTCTGAGTTCTGGTCACCTCACTATTGATTTGGCATCCCCACCATTTCAAGTTGAATCGGAGATTGATTTGAATGTTTTTTGGAAGTTGAGCGAGCAGTTGCCTCCCGTGAGTTCGACCACCGCAGTTCAGAGTTTGTTCGTGATGCACTCACCTCTCAAGCTCTCCGATCGTTTGGAGAACTTGGCTCAAAGGCTGTCAGCAACTCGTGAACGGCATGGCCTCGAGCAAGGCCGCAGCAGCGATCGACGACCCAAGACAGAGCGGCTTTCCATGCTACGGCCAGCGCAAGGGCAAGACGAGGCAGAACCAATATGCCACCTGGGTGGTATGCCTCAAGTGCGGGATTCGCCTGGAGTACCAGACGAAGAAAGCCGGGCACGGTGGCACGAGGCAGATGGGTCCAGACCCGCAGATCATTCGGCTGGCACTGGCCGACATCGAGAAGAGCATGGAAGCCAGCGAGGTCACGATGGACGTGGTGAATGGCAAGATGATGGAGATCAAAGGCAAGATGCTTCAGATGGGCATTCCAACACCCCTCCAGCTGAACATGACCTTGGACGAGTACCACCAGAGGCTGGAGAAGTTTGGCCGAATGGATGGAGTGCCAATGACTCCATCGACCAAGGCTCCATCAAGTGCTGCCCGATCGAGCCCGAGCGAGGTTCCATCAAGTCCAGAACCCAAGAAGGCCAGCCAGAAGAAGGGCGTTCCGCCCGAAGGCCCGTTGGAGAAGGAGATCAAGGAGATGGCAATCAAGGGCTACCTGGCCGCCAAGAAGGAAAAGGAGCTGGATGTCACGAAGGGCACGCCACAGATGATTCCGGACGGCCCGGAAGTGGTGATGATCCACTCGGAGGAGGAAGAGTGGGAAGCCCCGACGGAGAAGGGCAAGGCATCTGGCGATCCCTGAAGGGCCTGCGAGAAAGGCTGACCAGGCTGCAGAGTCGTGGCCTTGGAGCTGGTATGGGCTCTGAAAGCGGTTCAGCAGCAGCGGAAGGCAGCGCGGCAAAGACCTCACTTGGTCTCAATCCACAGCAGGATGCAAGCATCCACACGAATAGCACCACGTGCCACCACGGCAACACGGCATGCACCACGTGCTCAACGAGCAACACGACACACACCACGAACCTGATGGCTGAACCCAGCCATATGACTCTCCGGGACACGCACGGGCATCCCACGGAGAGTTGGAGCACAAGCCCAACGGCATGGGCCTACAACAAGAGCCAGACAAGCGGCAAGAACATAGTGCCTCCATCTCTGGCCAAGAAGATGTCCATGAAGGCAGCCATCCTTGGGGCGATGATCATGGCCCCAATGCAGTCATTGCTCACCCAGATGGCTGGAACGGTGGACTTCATGGAAGTGGCGTGCTCAGCCACGAGTGCGCTCAGCACTGAGATGGAAGCAAATGGCTACTCAATCCAGAGAGTGAACTATCTGGAGGGCTTCGACCTTGACAAGAAGTCTGGCACCGAGAAGCTGACCACCAGCATGAAACAGCTGAAGCCCAAGATGACATGGGTGAGCCTCCCATGTACCAGGTTGTCATCCCTCACTCACCTCACTCCTCGCACTCCTGAGGAACAAGCAAACTTCGAGAAGCGACAGCAGCGTGATCTCAAGCGCGCTGATGAGGTGAGCCAAGCAATCTGCCAGACCTTGGATGACGAGAACGACTTCGCCTGGGAATGGCCAACCGGAGCAGCAAAGGGTTGGAGATCAAGGGCGATCAAACGCCTTGAAGACAAGATGAGAGCCATTGGAAGACCATTGTTCTGGTGCCGACTCCACGGCTGCGCATACGGCCTCACCTTCAAGGGCATTCCAGTGAAGAAGGGCTGGACAGTCATGACGTCCAATCGAGGCCTATGGTTGGCCCTTCAGAAGAAATGTCCAGGTCACCCTGAACACCTGGAGTGCCGTGGGCATGTCGCTCAGGCAAGCTCCTACTACCCCGCAGCCATGGTGAAAGCGGCTGTGAAGGCCATCATCGGCACATGGACGGCCTATGAAGATAAGGCCAATATCTCCCTTTCCAAGGACGTGCAAATCCATCTCCTGGGAGTTGATGAAGATGAATCCCAACAAAGCTGGGAAGGTCAAGCAAGACAAGATGAGCCTTCCATCATGGCCCTGACGAGACAGCGCTATCCCGAAGAAAGGCCCACAGGCAAAAGACTGGAGCAAATCAAGCAGACCATGCTCCGCATCCACCGAGCATCAGGTCATCCTTCCATGGCAAACTTGCAGCAGCTCCTACGGGCCCGCAACGCCCCTCCTTGGGCAGTGGCCTTAGCAGGTGAACTCCGGTGCAGTGAATGCATCGAAGCAAAGAAGCCCCGGCCAGCTCCGCCTGCAAGCACAGGCGAACTTCCAGCTCTATTCGAGCAAGTCGGGACGGACGTGTTTGAAGTGGAGTTCAATCACCATGAATCCCAAGAAGCCCAAAAGGCCAAATTCATTCTTTGGCGGGATAGAGCCAGCGGCCTGGCCCAAGTCGACCTGCTGAAGATCTATGGTGGGCAAGTTCGCAACTGGGAGCCCAAAGCAGCAGACGTCCTGAAGTCCTTTGGCAAATGGCTCCAACACAACCCAACGCCAAAGTGGATCAATTCAGATCCGGCGACGTACTACACGTCCTCTGAGGTGATCGACTTCATGGGCCGAAGCGGCATCGGGTTGATGAACACCCCTGCAGAAGCACACTGGCTGCTTGGAGCAGAAGAAGGCTGCATTGGCCTCCTGAAGGCCACATTGTCTCGCCTGAAGAAAGAGACACCAGCTCTCGACATAGAGGCCTTGATGGACCTTTCCGTCCATGCACACAACAAGACAACTGGCCCCAATGGATTCAGCCCATTCCAATGGACCAGGGGAGCTGATCCACCAGAAGAAGCTCTTCCAGTTGGCATGGACCCCAAGAAAGCCTTCGAAGGAATGCTCAAGCTGAAGGCACGAGCCAAAGCAGCATTCGAGCTCGAGTCCGCAAAGACCCGCATGAGCAAGCTTTCCAATGCCACCACTAGGCCTCCTGCAAAGTACCACCCCGGTGCATTGGTGATGGTTTGGCGGCAGAAGATGCGTCCCGGACGCGTGGGTGGCAACTGGATGGGTCCTTTGCGAGTGCTCATCCAAGAAGGCACAACAGTTTGGATGGCCACAGGATCCAACATCGTCAAGGCCAAGACAAACCAAGTTCGAGCGATCACCAAGAGGGAAGAACTGCAAGCTTCGCTCGAAGGGACAGCTATCCTTCGAATGCCAGTGACACTTGAGTCCCTTCTAAGAGATTTCACTGGCAAGCACTACACCAACATCTGCGGCGAAGCACCCTCAGAGCAGCAGCAGCAAACAGATGTTGCCGGAACCACGGTGATCCTCGAGCCAGCCAAGAACCAGCCAGACACATGGCGCATCGAGCCAGGCAAGTGGCTCATTCGTGTGCACAACGCACCGAGGCTGGCAATGTTTTCCCCAGCACGGGTGACATCATCACCCATCGATGAGGCTCAACTGACCGGCAAGAGGAAGACGCACACGAAGGCCCTCATCGAAGGATCCTCCCAAGTCCTGATTGAAGATGACTACAAAGAGTCAGAGGATCCCCACCGATTGCTCCAAGAACGGTGGACAGGGGAAACTTGGTTTGAGATTTCATCTGCTCAAGCAAGCAGTGGCCCGAAGAAGAGGGCACCAAAATTAAGTGCAAGCAAAGCCGTGAAGAAGAAGGCCAAGGCCACTCCTCTCGAGGGAGAGGACACGGCAGCTAATGAGACAACAGGATCGGGAGCAGTCATCCCCATGCCTGATGATAGCCTGCAAGAGGCTCTTCGTGAACGTGGTCCGGATGCAGTTGATGGCATCCCTGGCACTCCAGTAAGCGGACCTGCAGACCATTCAGGAAACCATTGTAAAGTCCAGAACTGCCAGCTCCCCGGAGGTCACGAAGGACCACACCAGGACCCAAACCAAAAGCGGTTTACATGGGACCCGTACAACGGACGGGTCGAGGAAGAGGCTTCTTCGTCAAGTTCGAGCTCCTCCTCGAGCTCATCCTCTTCAGAAGAAGAAATGGTCCCTGACCGTGAAATGAAAAGAAGAAAGAAGGACAAGGACAAGAACCAGGCTGAAGAAGAAGACCTAGCGGTCTATGCGCTTGAAATTGAGGTGACGCCCAAAGAAGCGCAATGGCTGGCCAATCATCCCAACAGGGCCACCGCCTGGATGTCCAAGAAGGTCCAAGAAAAGAGCAAAGAAAAGCTCTGGTCAAAGTTGACCATGGAAGAAAAGAAAGGATTCGATGAAGCGCAATGCAAAGAGCTCTCACAGGTTCTCCAGTCAAAGGCTCTTCGCTGCCTCACGGAGCAGGAACACCTGAGCCTGAATCCCGCATCAGTGATGAAGATGCGCTGGGTCTTGACGACCAAGTCAGACGGGTCTCCAAAGGCCCGGTTGGTGGTCCTAGGCTACCAGGCACCGAATTTGACCCAGGTGGAAGCGGCATCACCAACCATGTCGCGCCTCTCCAGGAACATGATCTTGGCGGCGTGCGCCAACCTGGGACTCCGCATCCGCGGAGGAGATGCCACGTCGGCTTTCCTTCAGGCCGACCAGTGCATGGAGAGCCAACAGCTGACCATCTGGGCGCCAGCAGAGCTTGCAGTGCTTTTTGGAGCACCTCCTGAGAACCCAGTCATGCCCCTGAGAATCCGGCGAGCATTCTATGGACTTGTGCATGCACCCAGAGCATGGTTTGACCACCTCACCGGCACTCTCCGCCGAATTGGTTGGCGACAGGTGAAGAGCGACAAATGCCTCTTCGTCCTCACCGACGACTCGCCAGAGAAGAACGTGATCTCCATTGCAGGGATCCACGTGGATGATGTGCTCATCGGAGGAAAAGATGGCCATGAGAAGTTTGAACGATGCTTCAAAGAACTGGTAGAGGCCTACCGATGGGGCAAGTGGGAGCATGATGATTTCAAGTTCACCGGCTGCAGGATCAAGCAGTCGAAAGACTTCCAAATCCGGGTGGACCAACAGGAGTACACCGACAAATGGATTGAGGAGATCCACCTCGATGCAGCCTGGATGCAACAAAGGAAGTCAGCAGCCACGGCCAATGAAGTGTCCATGCTGAGAGGTGCAATTGGCACCATCGCCTGGCGAGCTTCCCAGACCTCGCCGCAGTACCTCGCTGACGCAGGACTTCTGCTTTCAGAACTGCCATGGGCCACAGTCGAGATGGTCCACAAGACCAACAAGCTCATCCGCGAGATGAAGCGTGAGGCAAGCCAGTCACTGGTCTTTCACCCCTGGCACGTTCCCTGGCAGCAAGTGGCAGTGCTAGCATGGGCCGATGCCGGCCAGAAGAATAGGCCCGACTCCTCAAGCACCATGGGGATAGTGGGCGGCCTTGCACCAGCTGGAATTCTCCAAGGTGAAGAACATGGTGTGTCGTTGATACACTGGCGTTCCAGCAAGACCCCAAGACAGGTCATGGGCTCCAACGGAGCCGAGGTGCAGTCAGTCACCGCGGCCGAAGACTTTGTGTTCCACACCAGAGCCATGTGGTGTGAAGTCCACGGCCAGACGTTTGAGAAAAAGGAGGACCTGTACCAGATGGTACGAGGAATGTCGCAAGGAGCGGTGATCATGGACACCCGAGGAATCTATGACGCTGCAACCCGGAATGTCTCGAGCCTCCACGGCCTTCGATCCTCCCGAGCTGGATATGAGCTGACGATCAGTGTCGATCAGGCACGCTCCATCGGAACCCAATTCCGTTGGGTCCACGGAGGTGTACAACTGGCTGACAGCCTAACGAAGTGGGCTAGCAGGAAGGTGTTGTTGACCTTTTTAGCCCACGGGCAGCGCTGGAAGCTTGTGCACGATCCAAGCTTTGAGTCGTGCAGGAAGGTGCGCAAGAAAGAGCTGGAGAAGCAGATTCGAGAGCAGGAAGAATCCTTTTTCACGGCAATCGCCATTTTGGCGGAACAAAGCCGATGGCCTTTTGAAAGCGGCCATGGAAGCAAACAACTCAGGAATGGGGGTGATGAGAGATTCAAGATGACATGTCATGACATACCCCACATGAGCTGTTTGCCTCCTTCGTTTGCACCATGACACCCTAACCGCAGGGTGGGTCCGAGCCTTTCAGAAAAGGGGCGCCTTTCGCACACGTGTCGTGCATGGTCATTCGCCACCGGTCGGCGACAATCGTGAAGTGTACCATCGAGTTTGGTTGTTGAGCATTGTGCATTGTTCACATTGGTTGAGTGTTGGGGTGCTACCTCCCGCAGTTAGGTTCAAGTATGTTTGAATAGACTTGTTCCTTTGCCCGGGGTCTTTTGGGAGGTCTCCCTACCGTCCAACGCCTCAATACCGCCAGAGCCACCCCAGGGCCTGGACGTATTAAAATACACACTCACATGGCTGTGGAGGTTCTGGCTATCCACTAGACTATCGATTTGACTTCTTTAATCGTGAATCAACACAATGTTCTCAGTCAGTGATGACCAGCTTGTCGGGATACAACGTGAAAGACCGCTGACTTGCTTGTTTTTGGAGGCTGTTCTCATGCATGTATGACCTGCTTTGAGCGTCCAAAATTTGGACATGCACTCCTCAGAACATCATCGCATCATGTATAGAGTATCAATTTTGGATGATGGCTCTATTAGTTGACCTAGACATGTTCAGTAGTTGGAAGATTTGTGGAGCACCTGTGGATGCGTGAATCAAGTGCCAATCATCGTACACCACCTTGGACCAATCAAAGACCCAAACGGGGGGGTAGATCCATGTCCATCTGGCATGGATTCTCAGTCGTAACGCCAAAGGGGATCCACCTTCCTGGTCTAAACTCTTTATGAGTTCTTATCCCAGACACTTGCCTACATTGACCCTTTTCAACCCAATCTGTACGGTACAAATACCAGTGTCTTGTCAGACGTCTGTGAACACCGCGACCCACTTGCCAAAGCGTCGCTCCAAACCTCCAAACCACCGGTCTCCACGTCCCGTCGTCTCCCGTCGTCGTCCGTCTACCGTCCAACCGGACGCGGAACCGTCCGTCCGTCCGTCCGTCCGCGGAACGAGGCACAGCACCAACGACGTGGTGCGTCAGGCGATCATTCCATGGAGTCGCCTGGAGGGCAGCTGGAGCCAGATTCAGCAGGGACATGGTCTCCTCGCACGAGACGGCCGCGTCGCTTGGACATGCGGTCGGGTACGTCGTGTATACGTGAGAACGGAGGGAGGATGGAAGGATGGGCAGTCTGGAGTTGCAGTTCTGAAGTTTGGCAAGGTACGTGTACGTATGATGTGATCATGTCAAACCCTCGCAGTGAATGTCACTGGGCCATTTTTCGATGTTGATGCTTGTGGAAAGTCCAACTTTCAGAGTGGAAGATGGCTGGGGTATGCGCATCTTCCTGAAGGAAGCATGTTTTGAGCCGTTGTCGCCCATGTATCGCCAAGGCAATGGCCTCCTGCTTGGAGGGTGTGCCCAAACAGGTGCCTCCGCCTAAGAAACGTGGGGTACTAACATGCGACCTGATCGTGATCCGCAGGTGTTCTTTGATTGGCATGGATCACTGACTGGACCAGAAATGCTACCAGGGCCATCCTGTTTGGGTGTCCTGGCTGGACTACCCTGGACTACTTAGGGGTCTCCATTGGACGCCCATTGGATGGCCCAGCTGTGCAGCGTTGACGTAGTAGTCACTGTTGACTGTCCTGTGACCTGTGTATTTTCGTGCGGGCTTGAATAAACAAACCACATCATTCAATAATGTTACTTCAGCAAATGTGCAAAGCGACAAAAACAACTATAAACTATGTTGTTGGACAGCGTTCCTGCACCATCAAGGTCTCTCAATAGATCACTGTGGCCAACTTTGTTCCCAGCCACCTTAAATTCCTACCTCTTCCCCGCTCCCCAAAATAATGTGTATAGCATTGCACCAGCCATGTCAACTAGTATGGTTGTCCAGTGTTCAGTGATGCTACGAGAGCAACAGACTTGAGGCACCTGGCCCCTCCTGCGGCTAGAACAGGGTTCGCCTAATCATATCATCTACATGTGTGACAGGGGTGCGTTTCTTTGTTGGGTAGCTGGATGTACCTGGCTGGCGCTTGTAGTAGGGCACAAAGGGATGCATCAAGGCAATCGTTCATTCTTCCATCTTTTGCTTTTGCCCCCCCAGGTATCCCCACCCAGTTTGCTCGGTCGAGCCATTGTATCATATTGTATCCATTCCATCCGAATCTGCGATTGCAGGCACAGGTGATGGTGACGCACAATTGGGACCGAAGTGTCTGTGTCGGTGTCGAGGCGTCAAGGTTTCTGTCGGTGATGGCGTCAGGATGGGTGAGTTGTTTGGCTGTCGTCGGCGGTTTGGCTGTCGACACGCGCATCCCCATCTGAAGTCGAACGGGCATAGCTGGGGAGCTGCTTCGCGCCTGGATTAGCATTGGTGGTTTGGTGCGTATTCTGATTGTCCTCATGCCAAGATCCACCTTTTGCGATGATGATTTGAATTCAATGTAGGACATAAACCAACCCTTATCAGCCTATCAGTGTGTGGGTTGTATGTTCTTGGTGTCATTCAATGTTGATCAATTGTGTATTAAATGTACATAAATGTACCAATCAATTTGCTTTCTGTAGTGCTGCCTGGCTGGATCGGACTCATATTTGTCGTTCCCATGTTCGCATGGACGTAGCACCAACATGCACCAACATGTTCTTAACCACAACGTGTTCGAAACTTCTGCTCTATCAGGTTCTTGCATGTTCTTGCAGCATTGTTCCAAATTGTCCATGTGTTTTGACGTTGTCTAAACTCAATTTCCTCAGATAGTTCTGGGCAAAACACATCATCGCATGGGTTCAAACAAACAAGTATATCCGAAAACAGCGGGGTACACTTCATCTCCCTACTCATTTCAAACCCTCTCGAATTCCGTGGCTAACATTCCACCCTCCAAAACTCCAAAGCAAATTTCTGAGGGTACCCTCCATGAATATCCCATGAATTAATGGGTGTGTAGCTCCAGCCGGGAGACCCTCCAACAGAACCCCTGAAAGAAGGACCATGGACCAAAACCAATTGCTTGGGGGGGGTCTCCATATTTTAATCCACACCCATCTCCACAAAAACCTCAATGTTTTCTCCAAGTACTGCCCCTGCTCTCTTTCTGCGCGCCACCGTCGCGTTCGGGGTCGAAATGGCAGGACAACCTGTTCTCCCACCTCGTCGCCGCGACACTCGGTGGACGTGGAGGGGTGGACGCGGACAAGTGCATCGCTACTAGTAACAAGTGCCTTACTAGTAGTAACAAGAAGCAACAAAGACAACATGTTGCATAATGGTTGGAAAGTTGAGTGTGTTGCCGCCCAAACCTTGGATCTCAGGGGGTCAATTTGACACTTGAAGATTTAGGTTGACATCTATTGTACTTGCGGTCAATCTTTTTGGTTTTGGGGGGTCAACCAGGGTTTCGGGTTTTAAGCCATATACGACAAATATGTAAGCGGTGTTTTCTTGGTGAAGCAGTTGATTGGTCTCAAGCCATTGGTCATCATGTCAATGGAAGTGAGGGAGGGACAGGGAGGGTAAGTGTTCAAAGCGCTTCAGAGGCCATCGAAAAGCGCACTTAAATGCTGTTCACTGTAACAGCATATTCCTGTCGACACGTTCTCAGCCGACAGCATCCAGCCTTTACCAGTACCACAGACACCCAACACCAGGAGAAAAGTCCGTTTTGCTTTGTTAGACCTTGTTTTGCTTGGACTTGCCAATTCGACTTGCCAGTGGATGCTTCAGTTGATTTGTGTATATCTGTATGATGATGTTATTATTGTTTAAAGTCTACAAAGGTGTTTTCAAGACATTTCTCACCCTGCGCAACTAAATGCTCCATATTCTGTCTATATTATATATGTGTTTCACTGCTCGACTGACTTCCACCAAGGACGCTGGCCAGCATATTGGAGTTTTGCACCTTTGACCACATCTTGGCGCAGATGACCTCTCCGGATGGCCTCCAGGAGCCGATGCATCGATCCGACCTCGGCTTTTGTGATCCGAGAGCAGCACATACGACCATCAGCACATACTCCCACCCCGAAGTCCACAAAGCCACTTAGCTGTGGAATGTGGTCGAAAACTCTGTTCAAGGTGCTTCAGCTGGCAAGAACAAGAAGATAATTATGAGGAAGACAAAAGAGAAGAAGAACATGTCGGCCATGTGCCGCGTAGGAAAAACACAGAAACACACAGAGACCCCCATTGCCAATACAAGGGCTGGTGTTTGCTTGGGCTCCCTTGCAGTATATATATAATATATATACCTATACCCCCCAATTGGCCCAACCAAATGATTACTAGTCGTACCAACGGCCAACGGTCTCGTTTGTTGGCGAGCTGAGACAGATGCTTTTGGTCAATCTCGCCAAAGCCTTCGGGGGGGATGGCACTGCGCCACACCGCGCCACAGGAGCTGCGAAGGCGATGTGAAAAAGCAGGCCGATGGTGATGGGTAACAGGTGGCCTGAAGGCCATGGGGTGGCCGTTTAGGTCTTGTTTTGTGTTTTTGTGTTTTCTTTAAATCAAGGAGCTGAGCTGATGGAAGCCCTGTGAATTCTAGTTGGGGACTACTATAGTAGACCATAGATAGAATCCAGCCTCATGTGTTTGCACTTTCGATGTCTCCATGTTGCAACGGCATGCGACCACAGGCATCCAAATTGTTCAAGGCAGACACCTGACAGGCCTTACTGTTGATGGACCAGTAATTGTTCATGTTGTGGGAAGCATACAAGCTTGCATGTGTTTTGTTATCTTCTATATGTATCTATAAGTATTGTTTGTCTTAGACTCATAGGAGGCTAGGAGGTGAGTTTATTTTATGGGAAATACACATATACATATATGGCATATTGTAATAGATGGATAGTATATAATAGATGTGTAACTGTATAACATTGATATATATATATATATATTCAGTACGTTTTTTTTTGAGTCGTTGGTACTCAACATCAATCAACAATAACCTTCTCCTACATATGAATAATGCCTACGACTTTGTAGAATTTTGTCACCAAGACTGACTTTATTCCACCAAGTTGTTTTGTTGTTCTTGGTGGGGTTTGGCAAGTCAGAATTCAACACATGCAACCCATTTGTTGGTAAACGAACCCCATTGGGTTGGTATATACGTGACTTGCACCGCAGGTCACATCAACTTGTGCATTTGGAGTCTCGGCCGTTTGCAGTTGCAGTCTCGGTCTGCTTCCCCAGGCTCCATCTTCTCCTTGTTTTTTTTGAAGAGAAATGAACGCCCAAAAACACTGGTGACTTTCCACCTGCCAAAAACATATCGTCAAATGCTTGTAGCCATTTTTGTTGTTCCCAAAACACCGCCTTTGGTTGGACTTTCTGAGAAATCCACCACCGCAAAGGATCGTGGTCACTGGTTTCATATCATGTTGCAATCCTATTGCTGCCATGCAGGCAGATGTCATTTCATTTACTGAGTGCGTTTCGATCGAAGCACATCCATGCGAACGCAGGGACTCTTCGAGCGGGTACCTTTTGTGCGAACGGATCGGGTTGGTCAGGGTTTGGAAGCAGCTGAGCCTGGGAGGAACACATTTTTCAGGGTCCCGATAGATGCAAAGGATGCCGCATGAAACTGCTGATCTCTCATCCGACCTCGATTCCCAAAGTTTGGGCCAATTTGGGCCCTTTGATCTTTCAAGTAACAGACCCTCCCACCAGATCACACCTCCTTGCCTCGTTGCCATCGAGGATTTGCGCCTTTTCCATCAATCAGCATGCCAGCATTTGTGGTGGTTTCGGCCCTGCTCCGGACGACCCGGAGGCCTTCAGACACTTCGCCCCTTGCCCGCAGCGGCGTGGGCTTCCCGGCGCTGGTGAAGAAAGGGTGGTGTCAAATTGGGTGGTGGGGATGAATTACCGTTTGTGCAAACATATAAACATTCATGTGGCTTCTAACATTCGAACGAATCAGTTTGATGATCGTGAAAGGTAGCAGAGGATGGCCAGTGAAGAGATGCGCCGAGGACGTGTCCTTACTGCTGATCAATTAAAGTTTCAGACATCAATGTGACAGTCCATGTCGATAATTGAATTCAGATATCGGACCGAGAAATCCCTTCAGTCTTCTCTTCAGCCGTCGCTTGGCTGAACGACGAAACGGCCACCCCTCCACCTCTGAAAAGCAATCGGCCGATCGACCGTGGAGCTCGGCGGGGAGAAGACCTGGCGTTCCGGTCACCACCTGCCACTGGGTTCGGTTCAGTTCAGCCACCAGAGGAGACGTACGTTGGAAGGTGCTGGTATATATTCAATCATATCAGTCCGCCCACTGGTTCCGGTCACAGGATCATTCCGCCGCCCCATGACCCATCCAACCTTTCAGCCTTTGTTTTTTTGTGGGGTTTAAGGGTTATCAGGGTATACAGCAGCTGTTCCAATGTGAAAATGAGCAAGTGCGAAAGGGTTAAACCTTCAAACCCGGGCCTATCAGGGAAACTGAAGTGCTCAATTTCGTTAGCGTTTGTGCCTTAATTATTATATACCTATTGAAGGACTCGCCACTGTAGCACCTGTAACGCCACCACACGTGTGGCGTCTTCCTTTCGCTCAGGACCGCAAGCGCCGTGACAGGGTGACCCAAGAAATCTACCGGACCTGTACGTGTGTGCCTTGGAAGCATCCCAGTTTGATTTTAGAGAGTTCAGAAATGTGGGTGGTAAATTCATATGGATGAAACTCCCTTGGTTGGGGGTTCTCTCAACTCCTCAATCAAAGACTAAGCATCCAAGTGAGTGGTGCAAAACCTGTAAGACACTGGGATGGCTTCGAGTTGTTCATCAAGAGCAATGCCTCACTTCGCAGGGATGGCAAATGGGTTTGGCAAGTCGTGAAGGCGTGCAGGTATACAGACCTCTCGTGCAGGTATACAAGGCCACGGATTGGAGGATTGGAGGATCTCGTGTGGCTTTCTAACTTCTACACCCGGGTGGTTTACTCGAACCGATTCATCCAACCGATGGGTGTAGAGCCCGTCAAACCGATGGCAAAAACCTAAGCACCCCACTGCCCAACGGGCCGATCTGGAGTGGGGCCCAACTGGGGGTTGGTGAAGGAACGGAAGATAAATTGATTAACAAAAACTAGGGTAACTAGGGCATCGCTACGAAAGTAACAAGGGCATTACTACTATAGTAGCACAAGATAGTTGGCTTTTGCTGGACCTTCATGGGCCAAGTTGATGTTATATGTTTGCACTCCTTTTGGTCGAACGAACGAACCACACCAGCTCCCGCCTCCCGCTGGAAAGATCCCAGACCTCTACGAAGTACTTCAACAATGTGCCAGACCAATGTGAGTTGACGCTGGGCACAGCTCCGCAGGGTCTGCGGCGATGCGCGCAGCACGCTGGGTCCGCGCGGACACGGAGTGACGTCTACCGGTGACGTGGTGGGCCGAAGATCCCGGTGATGTCTACATGGACCCGGATCGGTGGAACTGGGTGGCTAAAGCCCGCATATGTGAATGGTGAGCCTAAATAAATGAGGATCAAGTCTCGCAAAGCCACCCATCCAACTCAGGTTGGTCCTGAAGAAGGCAAGTGAGAAACATGGAGGAACCATTTGGCGATACACTTAGAGCCCGACGGTCGTCCATGTAGCAAAAGACCGACACCAGGTAGTTGGTCGATCCACCGAGGTCGGACGGCCATGGGTCAGATGGAAGACCTCCACCCAGACGCTCCGTTCACAGCCCTTGGGTCCCTCAAAACCTAAGGATTGGTTCGACCCCAGACTCCCCCAGGGTCCAACCCGATATGAGGGTCCAACCCCGAGCGTTTGGGCATGACAAATACCTGGTCAATGTTCGGGTTGGCCGCAGTGAGGTGTTTTTCGTCCGTTCGTCCGGTCGCTTTCGGGGCATCGACCCGGGAAATGACTCGGGTCCATGAGCATCACCCAACGAAAATATGTCGGGGGTGTCCGAACCTACCTGTAACAGTCAGTAGACAAGCAAATCACCATTTTTTGAACTGTCGGGCTGCAACTGAACCATCATCATCCACTGTTACTGGTAATACTAATAGGATAGACCCAAGCCACTACCCTTAAATATCGAGAGGTGTGTTATCTTGCGTCTCATATTTGTTTGTTGCGTCTCATACACCTGTACTCATCTGAGGAACAAATTTGATGCCATGATGCATTTCTTGAACCAGCTCCTTGCTTCACATCCCAGTGGGAGGCCCTCGCGCGCGCGTGTTGCCACCACTCCCCGACTCGTAACTCAGACTCATCCACACCGGGATATATATATATAATCTAACATTAAGTAATATGATATAGTATGATATGCATTGATTGATATGCATCATATATTCATATAGAACTATAACAATTATATTATGGTTTGTGAGATGGACGTGCACATTGTCGTTCAGCAAAGTCCACGATAAGGGTCCATCTCAGCATGTCCGCAAACAAGAGCTTGATAGAAAGTCCGTCACAATGATTTATTATGTCAAAACAAACACAAGAAACATGTTTACAATGACCAGATGACTCACCAAAACAGATAATGTGAACACAACAAAATGGTAACATGACAAAAAAAACTATCCGTGAACCCACAAGCTTCAAAACTGATATGAAGCCTACTCTGATTTGGACATTCTGGACAGAGCGGAAACATCGATTGCACATTAAAAATCCTCCACATCCACCTTCTCCAGCCAGATCCCCAAATTTTAAACACCTCTTCGGCTCACCGAGCCGTTTGTTGTTGCGACATGTTCAACACTGGTGACACATAGTGACACCTTTCACAGATGGTCCTGCTGACGCTCTTTGTTTTGGAGTGGCGACCACCAGCACCAAGACCCATCAGCAAGCCAGGCCAAGCCTGCACTACACTCCCTTAAAACAATCATGCAAATTGGACAATGGCCGGTTGGATGACCCATTTTCCTCTACTTGCCAGGGGGGGGAGTTCCTCCACTGGCCTTCCGGCGGTTGGAGTGCCTAGGCCCTAGGCACTCTTCCGTTCGTCGAAGCGGAGCGCCCAGGCACGTGGCGAACTTCCGTCAAGTCGTCGCCGTGGACGCAGCCTTCGACCTCTTCAGCCGAGCCTGGTGTGTGGCGGCCCCTCGACCGAACCGCGGGGTCTCCGGAGTGCAAAAGGGGGGAAGCGGATCGAGACCGCAGCTCTAAAGCTTTGCTGAAGAATGTGGGGAAAAGCTTTCGCTTCTGAGCCTTTTTTGGGTATATCCGTGATGAACACGAAAGGCACGTCACACTCCCGTGCCTTTCAACGGACCAAACCCGACCGGACGTGTCGCCGTCGTCGGACACGGCGCCTCGAGGAACTGGTGGAAGCCCGACGGTTGAAGCTGAAGCAAGTCTTGGTCGACGCTGAGTGGCATTGAGTTCTTGGCACTTGGGGGGATTCAGCTGAGTACATGATTACATGGCATGTGGAAACGCAACTGTTCCAGCAGGAGTTGGGGAATTGGCAACGATCCTTCTTGTGTGACCACATGCTTTGTTATGTTTGGTTTATCTTTGAGGGTGATACTGTGATACTGATGTGTGCCCAACATGTCTTGCTCGGTGTGTGTGTGTGTGTTTGTTCTCTTTCTGGTTCATTCTGCTGTGTTTTATGTCCTCTGTCGTTCCACAGAAAGAGAAAAGGACATCAACTGACACTTCCTTGGGAACCAAGTTTGGAGCTGGTGCCCCTGCCTGCAAGGTCTATAGCAAGGAGATTGTGGCTGGGAAGACGGAGTCCCTGATGCTTGGCATCGAGTTTCAGTTCTTTTTAGGCAATCACATGATCCGTCGTGTTGTGTCAGGTTGCACCACTCGTGTGAGGTTTCAGATAATGGAGTTGAAGTGAAGAAGCAACCGGCACACTGCAAGGAACTAAGCAAATGGTTTCCCAGTAACGTGAGGGAGGGAATCCATTTCAATGTCTGACCACATGCCCCACGGAATCGAGTCCTGCTTCGCTCATGATCCAGATCCGAGCTCGCTCTTGCATGTGGATTCCCCAGAAGCGTACGAAGCCTCTTAAATTGGAGCCAGAGCCTCATGTTATGATCGAGTTCTAGCTGTTCTAGTTTTGTATCGGCAAATCCATCAACTGAAACAGTCCAGAGGGACCCAGAACTGGGTTGTGAACGCAGGTCATCGCGCCGAAGGCGTACGTATCGAACTCGTGCCCTGCAGGAAAAGCATTCGGGTGCAGGATTGCGAAGCCTCGCGCCGGGAGGATGTTGAAGAGATCTTGGCCAAGATCGAAGACAAGGTGATTCGCCGGCGGAGTCGGTTTTATCACGTGTTCCCACGCGCCGCGTGGGAGGCATGGATGAAGGGATCGCCATGTTAACTTGTGAACATTCCTGGACCATCTAGGAGTGTGGAATCTATTCAGAAGTGTAGGGCAGTCCAGACTCTTTCCAGACTCTTGACCCTTGATAGTCGCAGGAGATTCTTTGTGATGAGGTGTCCATTTGCCGCATGGGGAAGATGTCCCGCCCAAGACCTGCCAACAGGAGAAGTTCAATCAAGAGCTCCAGCGGGCACTCTTCACTGACAGCGACAGCTTGTTCCAACAGCTTTTCCGTAGTCAGCTGGCCAAGAGCGACCTACACAGCACCTCAGCTGACCCACAGGGTGAGCGAAACTCGACCCGAACCAAAGATCCTTTTAAGACTCTTTCGCATCGAAGTTGGGGGGCGAATCGAAGCGGTCCATTGTCCAATTGAATCGTTTGGTCCAGGTCTATTTTTTTGACATTTTGGCGTGTCAACATGCAAAAGTGGGCTTGGGATTGTTTATTTTGGTCTCGGAGTCGTGTTACCCCATCATGGTCTTTCTGCTGCGTCCAGGTGCCATTCTAGATGCCTTGGCATGATGACAGCAGCCGGAGATCTTGAACTCGGCGCGAGCTTTGGAATTTCGGAGCTTTCCGAAGCCACATGAAGCTGCTTGGCAGCAGAGGAATGAGGACGCTGCTTGGTGGAGGAATGTAATCAATCCTTGTTTTTCTTATGCACTGGATACGTTGATTGGTGGTGTGAGAATGTAATACAACGTGGCGAACCCGAACACTTACACTGTCAGATTACCTTTGCAATTTGTGAAGCCACTTGAGGGCCACTGCCATTTTCCAAGAGCGGGTTACCGAAAGGTCGACCTTTCCTGTTCCTCCACCCTTTTACTCTACCTAACTTTTGTCATCTATATGCATAGCGGTTGATGCAGTGCCAGCCATGCTCCATCCCTCAAAACACCAAAGGGCCGGTCGGTGATTTGGCGAATCCTGGAGGACTGGAAGTGACTCATTGGATCCGAAGTCAGAAAACATGATCCGCTGATCCCTTCAAGTCGATGAACGCGGTAAAACGGTATCATTTTAAACATAAAACTGGGATCGTTTTTACGTAAATATATACAGTATATATAATTCAAATTCCGTGACATCTCTAATCCCTGCAAGTCCAAAGTCCTCTTTTAACGAGGTCATTTGAAAAGGAACAAGTTTAACTTGAACATCACGTTTGTCGGACCCAACGCTCTTTTGTCCCTTCCACAGCAGCAGCATCACCACATCAGCCCACATAGATCCTGCCAGACTGAGCGAAAAAGCGCTCAAAAAAGTCACCAAATTGAGGAACACATGGTACGTCACCTCCTGGAGTGATGTTCTAAGGGATCCTTCACATGCTTTGCCATGGGAGTTGCGAAAGGTGGCCGACCTATGTCAGAACTGCCAGTCCTTGCCATGTCATCGTCGCCACGTCACATCCACATCGATCCTGCCACAAGTGCATTGCTGAGGAGAGAAAATTTTAGAGCGAGCGAGCCTAACTCACTCAAGCTAGTGATGCTAGCGCGCTTCTTGGCGTAGCCGCTTGTCATCCAGATTGCTGATAGGTAGATGCTGTACAATGAAAGAATCAACCTATTAAGTAACTGCGCAATCAGAGAACCGAACTGTCCTGCGCACGCGTGCCTTTGCACACTGAAGCAGAGAAACGCAATCTTGGCCAGGAGCCTTTAATTCCATGTGTCTGCCAAAGATTGCACTCGCAAGCTTCTTGATCATCCCAATGCTGTCCTTCTCTGAGAAGCAATGCGAGAACCTGGAATTCAGTCCTGACAGGCTTGAACCCAGTGAGCAAAGAACGGTCATTTGTCCCAAAAGAGACGTGAAGCCTCTTCCCAAAAGACCAGTCAAATCTCTGAATCCTCTTCCAGTAGGCGCATTTGTGCATGAACCTGGAATTCAAACCTGGGGGCGCTCAAACCAAGTGAAAGAAGGAGGAAAGATGAGTCGATATGATCTAAAGACACACTCAGCCAAGAATCGCGCTCTCTCTCTCTCTTGGTTGCGAGGCCCGACGTGGCAGAACATGTGTGCTTTTGGCTTCAGGACCCATCGTGACAAGTCACTCAATAGTGGTGAAAGGCCCTTGGTCTCGAAGGGCGCTTGAAGTCTCTGAATTGATCAAGGGAACTCTTTGCCATTCATGGAAGTCCTGCTGGCTACTTTGAGGCAGCGGATGTGGTTCTGCAAACCCCAAATCCAGAACCATCCAGAACCCATGAACTGGCCTGGGTCTCCTTGTTTTTTTTCGCTCTCAAGTGACTCAAGTGGAAGACGCAAATCCAGTCTCTGCAGAACAGGAAGCCGATGTCTTTCTTGAATGTCTTCGCCTCAGTGGGAACCAGCTCCAAGTCCTTGCGGAACCATTCTCACAAAAGACCAGATCCTATTGGTTGACCCTGATTCATCTCAGTGCCATTGCCAGGCGAAGAATTCAGTTCCGGTGGCCACAGAAAGCGTGGCTGGGATCTGCATGTCTAGCGGCAAGCGAAACATGGCTAGAACAGGGTGCCCTGAACGTGTCAGAAGACCTAGGAGATGAAGGCCCAGAAGATCAAGGCCAAAACATGTTTCCTGTTTGAATGGGCACCCTGTTTGGTCAGGACAACCCACTTGGCTGGGTCAAAGCCAGAGACGCGGGTCGCTGCTTGGTGCCGACATCGATCGATTCGGATGAGTGGGAGACAATGAAGGCTTTAATAGGACCAGGTAAAGCTAGGCTCCATTGAAGTAAATCGTGTTCAATGTCTTCATTTTGAGATGGACAAGTTTAACGAGGTCATTGACTTGGATGAATTGCTGAACCGGCGGACTTGCAGGGGATGGAGAATTTTTTGTTGTGCCATTTTAGGCCATCTCCTGTCCACCTCTGCTGTCTTGGGTCGGTCCGGGTGCTCGAGCCGATTCATGTCAAGACAAGTCGCTCAGTCATGTCAAGTGCGGATAAAGGCCCTTTTTCTCCTGAGGACGTGAGCAGTGATGGAAGATGATGGACGTGACTTGGCGAAATTCATGGGTCATTGGGTCTCGAAATCATGATCATCGCTACTTATAGTTGCAAAAAACTACTAGTTTCGTCCCTCAAGGTGGACGTGCGATGAAGTGCCCCGAATTTTCCTCGGACTGGCACTGGAGCTGGCCGCAGCTGCGGGTCATCGTTGCCTGGTTGAAGCTCGGATGAAAGGCTCTTTCTGGATGAAGTGCGGACGGCGGACGTTCGAGCTGGACATCCCAAACTTCGCTGCGTTGATCGAACTGTTGGTCTTGGACCCCTTCTCCTACAAGGCCACTGTGCGGTTCCTGCTCGAATTGGTTTTGTCGCAGGACAGGGGGAGCCTTTGAGAACCCCACATGTGAGCACATCACTTGACAAGTCGACAAACCCAATGTGGCCCAAAGCTTCACAGGCATTTTCTGAAAGGGACGAAGGGTCCATTGACTTGAGTTGGAGGGAAAACACGATCATCACGACCCTATGTTTATGATTATTGTGTATCAAGTGGTCAATCCTTGCAACCTCCATGACTCCTTGCAACATTTGTCCACACCCCTGTGCCCATGGCCAATGAGAAGGGCAATTCAGAATCACATGTGCGTGGTTGACATGCCTCGTATACAAAAATAACAGGTTTCCGTGCTAAGAGTCCTGAGGACGGTTGGTGGTGCATTCGGCCGGAGTTGATCGAAACGACTCAGAAGGGGAAAACGACTCGATCAAATCGCTTCCGTCGGGGCATTTTTTGTGCCACGCTGGGAAGGAAGACGTGGCGCATGGGCATGTGTTCACTGGAACATGGACCTCCATTTGGGCAGTTCTAATAGTTCATTGGAACTTTGAAATTTTACTATTGTAAATGATTTGCACCCTGAAATAGAGCTTATGAATGCTTATGATGTTTTGCTTGATTAAGTTTATTTTAATAGCTCTCTATTTAGTTTTGATAGTCTTAGTCTTTGGATGTTTTTGAGGATTTCATTTGATCTCTTTTCCTTTTCCACACAACAACACTAATCTCCTTTCATCTCCGTTCCAGAAAATTATCCCTCCCTCCCTCCTCCAGAAAATTCACCCTCCCCAATACTCGTCCCCTCAAAACTCGTCTAGTCTAAACCATTGAATGAGGTTTATTTAGGGTCAGGTTGGGGGGCCCTGTCATAGGTGGACATAACATGACATAACGGTTGTTATTTTTTGTTGTGTGTGTTGCCGCTGGCACTTGGAGGGAAACTTTCAGGAAGGCCCATGTTTGAATCAAGCGCCCCGGAAGATGGGCGCCCACATTGTATTTTTGGAGCTTTCTGTTTGGCCGGAAGCATCTCGACAGAATCTCCCAATCAAATGACACCTTGACCTATATACAGTATATATACTGCAGTATTGTTCTGGATGTAGATGGCAGTAGATTCAGTTCCCTCTATGTATACCTGCTGCAGCGCATGTTTGTTTCCACTGACAAAGTATATAATACAGGATCTAGAAACACCATCGTCAGGATCAGTCAAATTTAATTGGTGTTTTTCATTTTGTTCGAGCCATTGGTCATGTAGCCTTCTTGAGAGGCTCCTGCCGTCATGATTGAGTTGCTCCAGCACGTCCCGCGGACCTTTGGACAAAAGATCAAGAAGAATGCAATTAGGGGACAAATCTGAGAAAGCCCCCGTATTTGGTTCAGAGGCCACAGTCTTTACTCGAGCCATTTGGTTCAAGATGGTTCCAGTATTTAGGGAAACAGCCCTTTCACCGTGAAAAAGACTGCACCTCCTGAGCCAGACCGCCCCCCCTCACCGCTGAGGTACACGATCCATCGGCGGCAGACCGCCTCGGTCTGACCTGTGCCCTGCGCCGAAAAAATGCTTTGGGTGCGTCGCGAAAGACATGGCCACCTGGACTTGGGCTCGAGTCGACCAAGAAAGAGGGAGTTGTTTTTGGAAACATCGCAGAAACCGAGACATGTTTCTTCTTCCGACCGCCAAACCGGAGATGATGACATTCCCCTTCGGAAATCCAGGTCATCATCTCTTACCGGGTCGAGGAGGACGAGGAGTGCCTGATCTTTGAGCCCGGCGACCGCACGTTGTTGGTATGATGCACTGTAGATGCCATATAATGTAGACTCTTGATTCATAAAGCACCCATTTGAAGTGGAAAGTCCTCTTCATATGGGGGGGCAATTAATCAAGAGCCTACATTATAGATGTTGGCGCCGTGTGAAGGAATGAAGTGCCCAACGATCATACTCGCCTGGATTGCGCCGCCGTGTGGAGGGGTCGACGAGCCACGACGTTTTCAGAGACGGGGTTGGAGTGCCGGGAATTTGAGATGTTGGAGTGCTGGGGGAACATGCAGTGATGGAGGGCAACCTGCACTGGATGGTGGGAACCAGTGTGAACCGAGAACCCGGAAAAGCGAAGTATGCATCCCAGACACTCCATGGGACTATGGAATATAGTATTGACATTTATTTGACCTGTTCAACCATCCCAATCTATATGCGAATCCCATCGGTCGTGTTTGGAACTGGATGTCAGCCTGAATGTCACGGAATCTTAGACCGGACCTTGGACCAAGCAGCTTGATCGGGAAGGTCCATGTTCATCAACAAGAGACCTCAGGACCAATGGGTCCTGGAGGGCGACCGGTCGCCACAGGAGCCGGACTCCACGGAGGCGAAGAGAGTCGAGACTCGGGGCACGGAGGCACGACCAGGACATGGACCCGTTGCAAAGGATGGATGGGCACCACTAATAGTCCTGTAGTAAGCAAGTTGGACTGACGGATTTGATGTGATAATATTGGCCGTTTGGGTTTGGATGTGTGTGGTGTACCCTTGTGTTTGTACTGCGGTTCTTTCCATTCCCAGAAATATACACCTACATTGACACCTTTTCAACCACACCAGTGACACCAGTGTTTCGATTAGAGTCTTCATACATCTTCCAGTCCCATGGAGTGTCGATTCGCACGGGTTCTTGGAAGAAACGGTCTTGAAGGGCGAAAACTTGGAGTGAGTGCAAATGAAGGGATCCCTCAACGTGTGGGACTGGTTTATACAAGCTCCGCACTGTCCAGCCGTTTGAGTTTGAACCGGTTGTGCTGATTATTGGTTGAACAAAGAGTGCGGAATCGTTGAGTCTTCCAGTCCAGTCCGACAATTCAGAAACAGCAAGACGAAGCAAGTCAAACTGGGGTATAACATTCCCATGATTTCTGGTTGATCAAACATTGGGTTAGCTGGGACAAAGAGATGCATTCTTCGGCGTGACGCCATTGCTGAGATATTTTTAACATGTTTGTATATATTGTTTCATAGTTTTTGTCATTTGTTGTCCATTTCCGACTGCAGGGTGCAAGTCCGTGCATCGAACTTCCGGGAAGGTGAAGAGCATTCTGTCGCCTTCCTTTAAGTCACCGGCGGCTTGCGCCGCACAAGCGCAAGCCGCGCAAGCCGATGAGGTGGAGGAGGTGGCGAGCCGGCTTTGCTGTTTGGGAGAAACAGATTTCGAGTGGAAGGATCCGCGATGTAGAGGAAAGGACAGGAACGGATACATGGATGTCCCGCGAAATCATGGTCAGTGAGCATGCCTTTAGGGGTGTACATGCAGCCCATGTGGGGGTTTGACAGACACTCCTTGCACGGTTCTACTAAGTGTCGACTAGTACTTTGCGCGGTGGGTGCCGGTGGTCATTTTTTTTCGCAGGTGGGGGCCAGTGATGCACAAACCAAACGTGGGAGCTTGTAAATATTTGACGCATCTTTGCGGTTTGATTGGCCAGTGTCGTACACCAGGACCCCCACAGGGAATGTCTAACATCCTCGAAAAGAGGGTTGCAGGGTATCCATGAACCACCCCTTGGAGGTATTGGTGCACTTTGTTGTGTGTGTGCGCCTTTCTCTTGATTTCCTGGGATTGCGGAGCCTGCGGAGCCTGACCATGAGTTATTTTTCTTTCAAAACTCACTGCCCGATTTGCCTGCCATCTCCAACACATCCAGTGACTGCTTATTATTGAGGCTTCAGGATGCTTCAGCCTAGGTACGTTTTCAAAACTTTCAAAGTGATCTATCCACTCGGGATGAAGCAGGCCAGTTGCAAAAAAAAGGCGACTATGGTGCTTATAGTGGATTGTTTTCAGGCTTTTCGTGGTCCCTGAGGGAATGACCCCCACGTTCCGAAAGAGATGCGGTATTCAGTCTTCGCCTCGCCCTCATTCCTGGCCCATGCATAAGACGCAGCAGTCTGGAAACCACCCAAATCCCATGAAATCCCCAACCTCCGGACTCCGGAGGTGTTTTTTCTCCTGTCCGGGTGGGTTTTTCTGGAGGTCACAATGGCAGTGGAAGTGGAATCCAATGCTTGGAGCCTCGTTGCCTTCGGCCGGTGGACGGGGCATAGAGAAGATCTCGCCGTGTGTCGGATGTTTGGATGTTGCGGAAGGTGTCGAAGACCGAACATCCATCAAAGGAGGATGGACTATGGATTGATACCCTAGTAATGTGTGTTGCTGGTACTGACTAAATACGAAGCTCCACTCAGAACGCGCATGTGATCACGTTCAGATGTGTTGTTTCTTTTCAAGGAATCAGTGCTGGTGAGTGTTGGAAAGACACACCAAATTAGGACGCATTCTCAAGGCAACAAGAACACATTTGACCATGGGTGCCCCTAAAGCCTGGTAAATTGAACACATGAGTCTAAAAGCTTGTGGTCCCCGGATTCATATCATTACCATATACATTTGCCATCATTTACCCCATAATATGTGACCCCAACGCAAATAACTATCCCATACATGGATGATCCTGGTATCAGAGCCATAGCCACGAGAACAGTCTCCCATAGTCTCCCTACACATGTTGAGATCTTTACGGAATCACTTCCTGCCAAGAGTAAGGCAACCGGCAACCGCGTTCGCTCGGATTTATTCAGACACCCATGTATTCTGAAATATTTACATACATCGGGGTGGTTGAAAACAGGTCAATGTAGATAAACCTGCCATACACCACCCCTTCTTTGACTCAGATCAGATCTTCTTGGGCTTTTGGAGAGGACGACCCAGTCGCAGGTCGATCCGGCAGAGGTGGAAGAAGTCGAGGAAGAGGCGAAAGAAGTACTGCAGCTGGGGTGTTTTAGCAGTGCTTTGCCGGTATAGCTGCAGGGTACAGAAGAAGTATACGACGCCAAGCGGTCTTGGGGGGGTGGAAGGAGCTTGGCGACGTGGAATCATGGAAAGTGAGGGGAGTGGAGTCTGGACATTGTGTTTGGGCGTGTTTGTTTTCCGAACTGATGCTAAGTTATACGGCCGTATACCACTGTTGCAGCGCCAGCGAAAAAGACATGCTCCTGGTTTTGCTTCTTGTTCGGCCTTTGCCCATGGCCATGTCCGCTGACGGCAGACGCGGTGCCAGGTCTTCCAGGTGATGCCGGCCAGTGAGGTGGGTTCAGGGCACCGGGGAGGGTTTTCGGTACCGAGGAGTTCCGGGAGTTCGGCCGCAGAGCTTGGGAGTCCGGCCACACCCCTCGAAGTGCCGAACTTGGAGGTAGTCGGGGTGCCCATGATCCACTCACTTAGGAACTAAAAACCACCCCTTCGTGACTCCTGGTAGATGTTTTGGTTGTTTTGTTGTTTATCAGGGAGAGAGGCAAGTTGGATCATGAGGTTTTGACCATGGACATGTGCTGAGGGTGATTCTGATCCTCAAAGACCAGGACGCAGGGAAGAGAAGGTTTGCGCGATTTTCACGAGGGATGACACTGAAAATCGTGACTGGCTTCGGCGGCCAGGCATTCATCAATTTCAGGGCAACACCTTGACTTAAAATTGGTACTGCAATATTGAGTACTCCATGATTTGTAGGTTGAAGAATGTTGAGACATCTTCTGTGTCTCTTCCTGTGGATTTGTTCATTGTTTTCTATTTTTTTATCAGAGACCAGCGTCAAAACATCTTAGACAACCAACCTAATTGTGCTGTAGATCATGTTTTGCCATCCTTGTAAGGGTTTTGTTTATTGATCAATCAACAGCCGACTGTAACCTAGTTGCTTGTGCTCTTTGCCTTCAGGGACGGCCACCCGCTGGAAAACCAGGCGCGGCAGAGTGGGGAGAACGAGATGCCGGCTGATGGTGTGGAGTGGGGTGACGCCACAAAACGACAAAATATTCAGTGGTCAGCGGATTTCTGTCGATTAATGACACTCTGAGCATGCACTTCAGTACGTTGCTAACTTGTGTTGCAATCTCTATGCAACCTGCTGCAGGATCAGTACCTTTCAAGGTTCAGTGTGATAGGTGCCACTGGTTACCCACTGGAACCTAGTACGCCTACTGAGGGTCAGCCACCTTTCGCTTCTCAAAGAAGAAGTTCCAGCACAGCACACGCTGCCCATGGGTCGACTGGTGCGACTCCTGACCTGGTGCACCAGGCTCCGAGCTCCGGGTGCAGAAGCGCGCCGCGCGGCGCACGCACTCGGCGAAGGCGCGTGGCCTCGGACCACGAGGCGCGGAAGACGCGGAAGGGCCGGTCGATGGGCGGAACGGAACGGCGGGAAGAATTGAGGCACATCTCCAAGCATCTAATGATGAGTACTGGAATGCCAGGTTGGCATAGGTTGGCGTCTATGGGTTCAGAAAAGAAATGAGCGCATGTCTTTTGTTTCAGATTCTTCAAATCAAGTCAGGGGCCTTGATAGCTTGGGTCCTGGTGGCTTTCCTGGTCAGGTCCATATCCGCGGCTTCCTACAAGCACCTTGGTGGCGTGGGCACTGGGAAAGGGAGATGAATCCTTGGCCTTCCCCGTAATTTATATGTTTGACATAGATTGACCCGTTTTGTTGGGAT